ATATAGTCGTCGAAAATCTAACTAGAGCTATATAGCGATATATGGGAGATTTTAATATAAAGACAAGAAGTAGAAGTATATAATAAATGAAAACAACACTCAATAAATGCTTCGCGTCCGAAGCGCTTTCTTGTATTTATCTTCATTAGAAACGTTCAAACCTGAACATTTAAAAATCAGGCGATATGTCTGTAAATATGTCAACTCGGCCCGTGAAAGTTGGAACCGTATTTTTATTATTTTTTATTTCGTAATTTATCAGGTGGAACTATATGTAATTTTTTTAAAAGTATAAATCATGTCAGTTCCGAAGAACTGGCTACTGCTGACGATACCGTCCATCAGCAGTGGTATATATCCGACTGACATGTTTCTGTGGATATATATATATATATTTAATTCGTCTAAACAACAACCCAACAATGTTAGATCTGTAAATTTGCGTTAGCAAATTTTTTGTTCTTCCCTGGCCGGGATTCGAACTCATGCTACTGAGATATCGTGGCACCAAATCGCCTTGCACTATGCCCGACGCGCTAGACCACTCGACCACCTAGGCTCTATATATAATAAAGCTTTCGGTGGCCGGATGTTACCTTTCCTCGTCAGTTTTTATCTAGCGTCGTAACACAGTACATGATATATAAGGCATGAAGATGGAATTGTTACAGATCAGCTGAACTTTCTATTGTAAAGGATCCTACAAATTAATGTAAGATGCAGTCACAGAAATAATACCACATCTTACAATAGATATTTCAGCTGATCTGTAACAATTCCATCTTCATGCCTTATATATCATGTACTGTATTACGACGCTAGATTAAAACTGACGAGGAAAGGTAACACCCGGCCACCGAAAGCTTTATTATTGTGAAGCCTAGGTGGTCGTGTGGTCTAGCGCGTGGAATTTGTAGGATCCTTTACAATAGATAATTCAGCTGATCTGTAACAATTCCATCTTCATGCCTTATATATCATAACGCTATCGTTCTCATGTGTCAGTGGGCACCTGAGCTACACCCAACAATATATTATAATCTAAAAGATAATCGTTGTATATAAACCTCAGAGCTCTCTCTTGGTTGTCTCTGCCTTATTTACATCATTGGGTTCATTAAAGAAATGCCATGAAAGTGGACAAAATCAAAATTTTAAAGTATAAAGGTGTCGGAAAAATAGTTGATTTATTTAGTTGTTATAAGTTACTTCCAATTCATTTCAAAACGGATGTTTTAGCTCAGAATGGGTCAAAAACAATCAGGTCTCTGATGAAACATAGTAGAATTTATAAGTTGAACAACTGTGAATGATCGACCAAAGTCCGTTTTCAGAGACAAAGAAGCTGTGAAATGTCTATCATCTCTTCACGATAAATATGTTGTTGTTGTTCCTGCGGACAAAGCTTCAAATAATATTGTCTTTGTATGTAAAATCGTACTACTACGAGTGTCTTGTAAAAGAATTAGGAATAAACGAGCACTCAGGTAATCCCACATACAAAAGTATATCATTTGACAAGGATGAGATTTTGGCGAATCATAAGTGCTTCATGGCTTCAATGAACATTACATTGAACAGCAAATCTGAGGACTTACCTTGTTTGTATTGGATACCTAAGCTTCATAAAATTCCGTACAAACAACGGTACATTGCCGGCTCATCTGCATGTTCTAGAAAGGAATTGTCCATTAGAATGACAAAAATTCTGTCCGGGTGAAAGAGGGTCTTCAGAAATACTGTGAAACTGTTTACTAGCGTAGTGGTATTAACCATATGTAGATTGTCAAAAACTCTAAAGAACTTCTGGATAATTTTAAATCTCGATTTTCTCTGAAATTAATTGTATCAATTTAGCAAACTTTTGTTTTTTCAACTCTGTATACCACCATTCCCAATGTGAAATTGAAAAATCGTCTAAAAGAAATAATTCACAATGCTTTTCAATATAAAAATTTGGAGGCAGACTTTTTCAACAAATTGTATGCATTCCTATGGGAACGAACTGTGAGCCTCTCCTTGCCGACCTCTTCTTATTTTCATATGAGTCGGAGTTTCTTCAGACACTTGTCAAAAACAAGAAGAACAAAGAAGCCAGATCATTTAATTCCACATTCAGATATATTGATAATGTTTTTTCCATTAACAATCCTAACTTTTCTGACTGGGTTTCATTAATATATCCTCCAGAACTAGAAATTAAAGAAACAACAGACACGGCTTCCTCCGCCTCATTTTAAGACTTATACCTCGGATTTGATATAAGCGGTCACCTCAGTACCAGAATTTATGACAAACGAGACGATTTTAATTTTGAAATTATCAATTCCCCCCACCTTTGTAGCAATATACCAACTTCCCCTGCACATGGGATATACATTTCCCAACTCATTCGGTATTCAAGAGCTTGCAGCTGCTACCCGGACTTTATAAAACGTCACCAGTGTCTGACCAGAAAGTTGATGAACCAGGGTTATGTCAAAGAACGTCTCGTCCTTTTTCTAAAAAAGTTTATCGGAAGATACCAAGACATTGTTGATAAATATTCCGTACAGTGGCGGATCCAGGGGGGGGGGGGGCGGTTCCGGGTGTTGGAACCCCCCTTTTTTTGACGATCAATGCATTTGAATGGGGACATATAGTTGGAACCCCCCTTTATCCTGGGTTAGGAACCCCCCTTTTATAAATGGCAGGGTCCGCCCCTGCCGTACCAACTTCAAAAATAATACATGATGGTCTTGAATATAAATAAGAAGATGTGGTATGAGTGCCAACGAGACAACTTTTCATCCAAGTCACCATGTGTAAAAAGTAAACAATTATAGGTCAAAGTACGGCTTTCAACACGGATCCTTGGCTCACACCGAACAGTAAACTATAAAGGACCCCAAAATGACTAATGTAAAACAATTCAAACAGGAAAACCAACGGTCTAATCTAAATAAAAAAATCGTAAGGGTTCCGCGGAACCCAGTGTCTCGCCTACTTTTGCTGTTTATCACAGGCTCAACAAAAATGAGGAAAAAAATGAATAAAAATATTCCTCTCTATACTATCTTTTGATTGTAAGTAGCTTCTGTCCATGTTTGGTAAAAATCCAGGATAGTTTATGAATCTAATAAATGTTTTAAAAACTATAACTGCAGACTGTATGTAATGTTAACTGGAAGAAAAACTAAGTCCATTTATAAGTAAAATACGGAAAAAATGGAACAAAATTTTAACAAAAATTCCTTCTAGATACTAGCTTTTAATCATAAACAAGCTTCTGTCCAAGTTTGGTACAAATCCAGGATAGTTTAAGAAAGTTGTTTAAATTTTAAAAACTTTAACCACAGAGTGAATGTAATGTTAACTGGCAGAAAAACTAAGTCCATTTATAAGTAAAATACGGAAAAAATGGAATTTTTTTTTTACAAAATTTACTTCTGGATACTATCTTATGATCATAAACAAGCTTCTTTCCAAGTTTGGTAGAAATCCAGGATAGTTTAAGAAAGTTATTAAAATTTCAAAAACTTTAACCACAGAGTGAATATTTGTGGACGCCGCCGACGGAATGTAGGATCGCTATGTCTCGCTTTTCAAGTTCGACAAAAGTCGAAGGCTCGACAAAAACGAGAAACGAGAAACACTTATGAACCACACCAACAAACGACAACCACTGAACCATTGAAGTATAGATTCTAGGTACTGACGTTGTTTATCATCTTAATTACGTGTTATAGTGTTCTTTTATTTGTCTTTGTAAATTATTACCTTTACTGTTTAGTTCATTTTTGGTAATATCCTTTTGGCGTGGCTCGGTACTTATGCATCCCGCCAATGTGTTATTGTGCTGTGGTATTTTTTTGTATTCTTGTCTTTCATTTTTGCTTATGTGCTTTGTCTATATGCCATTTTGTTTTTCTTTGATGACATATTTGTTTGTTTTTATAGTGATTAAATATATAAATAAAGGCAACAGTAGTATACCGCTGTTCGAAACTCATAAATCGATAGAGATAAAAACAAATCCGGGTTACAAACTAAAACTGAGGGAAACGCATCAAATATAAGAGGAGAACAACGACAAAACAAAAACACAACATTAAAATGTAACACACACAGAAACGAACTATAATGTAACAATGGCCATTTTCCTGACTTGGTACAGGACATTTTAAGAAAAAAATTATTATAACACAATGTTGACTGCTGTACCCCTTTTTGACATTTTTTACCTATTATGTCTGTTTGTTTTGTTCACACATTGTTGTCACTATAATGGAATTAAATGCGACTGTCATACAAGTGTGAGGTTTTGCTAGCTATAAAACCAGGTTTAATCCACCATTTTCTAAATAAGGAAATGCCTGTACCAAGTCAGGAATATGACAGTTGTTTTCCATTCGTTTGATGTGTTTGAGCTTTTGATCAGTTTGCGATTTGGTAAGGGATCGACTTTCCGATTTGAATTTTCCTTGGAGTTCGGTATTTTTATTATTTTACTTTTTACATAATGTTTGGAAATAAAAAAAATAGGTTATAAAGTAAATATTCCCAAAAGTTTGACAACATCGTCACATTAAATTGTTAAATCCTGGGTATTTTAAGGTAGGATTTAAACTATGGGTTTTTCTACCAATAGCAATGACCGGAAATTTGTAAGGGTTTTCTTGTATTTTATTTATTTTAAACCAATTTATAAGCTCGCCATACTCCTGTCCAAGGGTTTCAATATTAACCATGATTGAATGACAGATTAGGAATCGCTATCCAATTTGTCCATAACTTGAACTCGTTAGTGACATAAACAAATCAGCGTTTACTTAAATAGATTTTGATATTAATGGAAGTCATATGAGTTTGAGCTACTCTGTTACAGTAGATTCAGCGTGCAGGTCTGACAAGCTTCTTTGAAAGATAATACTTGTACGTTTTCTATTTAAGCGTTGTAACGATGATGAATCAACGTGATATATGTGATTTAATCCGATTCCCACACATGCGTGGTCCTTTCCAAACTGTAAATGGCGACATGTGCTCGATGAGAATTTCATATTTTCTCATGCCATGTTAGCCTGCAAGTTTTCGTAGATAATTGGTTGTCATCGGGTTTGTTACACTCAGAACTGGTGTTAGGATTTAAAATTATCGACAGAAGGGAAAATTCATATCAGTTTGTTTTATTTCGAATGTAAACATTGTGCTCTTGCAGACAACGTGGCTTCACATCTTTTGATTTTAAAAATTGTATTGTAGATGAATTTGCGCATTTTAGTAGTGTAACGGAAAAATTCTTGTAGAATTCATACCAGAGAACCTTTAGGAATTTGTTAATACTGGTGTCAACGTCGATTTAATCGTTGTGCACAAAAAATCTGTAAATAGACACGTTCTGTTGACTAGATTTAAAACGAGGCTCTGTGTTGGAGATAATTTTTGCATATTGTCGACGAAATACTTTTAAGCTTCTCATTACTACTTGTAATTGTTAAATTGAAATATTTTATTATTCCACGATGGACTGATGCATTATCGTTTGTTACAACAATTGTATTAAAATATTTTGAGGAAAACGTCTTGAAGGGAGTTTCAGTAGACAGACATGGCTACAGCTGTAGGGTCAAATGCTCCCAGTGAACATTTTCAATCTGACATGGCCTCGGAGGAAAGAGGAGACTCTGGCAGCACAGTTAATAATAATGAAGAGTGTCCACCAAAACAAGGGACAGATGACAATGTAGAAAATGAAACTGCTGTTGAAGATGAAAAATCAGAAAAGGAGAAGACGAAAGTGAAGAAATTTGACAATAAAAATTATGTTGAAGCCCCTCTTCCCAAGTCAAACCCATGGAATAAAAATGCACAACCAACTAGTCCTCCAGCCCAGATTGTTAAAAAACCAACAGGTAAATTAAATTTTAGTTAACACTGAAAATAAAGACCAATCCAGAAAGGAACATGTGTACATACTGTGCTGTCTACGAGAATCCAGATCCTTTCACCGAGATTCACGTTCGCCCTAGTACCTGTTTGCCCAGGGTCCATTCATCCTGATTTTTTTTTTTTTTTTTTTAATGTTGTCTAGTTGCATCATGTTTATTATTTGAACAGAGTATGTTAAAGTTTGTTGAAAAATTTGTCGAATATAAAATTTGCTGCAACCAAATAATTTTCTTTGATTTGCATAGTTGAATACTGGAATACAATGTATTTATCTTTACTGATATTTGTTAACAATTTTAATAATTCTAGTCAGTCAATTTATGCAGTATAAGTGAACTTATAAATCCATTTCATGTTTTACAATTCATATATCATTGGCTTTACTCATTCCAAGCTGACTAGTTTATCAAAACAAGATGTCGTTTTGATTATTAATCCATCAAAGATAATTATTACAACAATCAGTGAGAATTATTATTATGAACAATGAATGCTCCAAAACAAGCCATCAACTTTTAAATATTTCCATGTGTTTTCATGAATTTCGAGAATTAATACCATATAGATATCTGAATAAGTTTATTAAACTTTAATACCCTTAATATTAATATTTTTTAATAAAAGTAAGGAGAACGAATCCAGGGCGAACGGACTCTATGGGCGAACGGACCCGATACCTGTCTACGATAACCCGCACAAACATTTAGAAATAATAATTGCTACATCCGAGAAAAACTGATGAAATGTTTTTCTGGATAGGCATGACAGGGACCAGATTTCATAGGAAATTGCAGTTAACAATAATATATCAATTTTATTGATACCTGCAAAATTTTCCATTTGCAAATTGTATCTTTTTTGTGCTTACATGTAGCATCAGGATACTTAGTACTCTATTTGTGTCATTGCCCCATATAAGCTGTTTTACATTTTTGTCGAGCCTTCGACTTTTGTCGAAAAAGCGAGACATAGCGATCCTACATTCCGTCAGCAGCGTCCACAAATATTCACTCTGTGGTTAAAGTTTTTGAAATTTTAATAACTTTCTTAAACTATCCTGGATTTCTACCAAACTTGGACAGAAGCTTGTTTATGATCATAAGATAATATTCAAAAGTAAATTTTGTAAAAAAAAAATTCCATTTTTTCAGTATTTTACTTATAAATGGACTTAGTTTTTCTGCCAGGAAACATTACATTCACTCTGTGGTTAAAGTTTTTGAAATTTTAATAACTTTCTTAAACTATCCTGGATTTCTATCAAACTTGGAAAGAAGCTTGTTTATGATCATAAGATAGTATCCAGAAGTAAATTTTGTAAAAAAAAAATTCCCATTTTTTCCGTATGTTACTTATAAATGGACTTAGTTTTTCTGCCAGTTAACATTACGATCACTCTGTGGTTAAAGTTTTTAAAATTTTAACAACTTTCTTAAACTATCCTGGATTTGTACCAAACTTGGACAGAAGCTTGTTTATGATTAAAAGCTAGTATCTAGAAGGAAATTTTGTTAAAATTTTGTTCCATTTTTTCCATATTTTACTTATAAATGGACTTCATTTTTCTTCCAGTTAACATTACATACAGTCTGCAGTTTAAGTTTTTAAAACATTTATTAGATTCATAAACTATCCTGGATTTTTACCAAACTTGGACAGAAGCTACTTACAATCAAAAGATAGTACAGAGAGGAATATTTTTATTAATTTTTTTCCTCATTTTTGTTGAGCCTGTGATTAACAGCAAAAGTAGGCAAGACACTGGGTTCCGCGGAACCCTTACGAATTTTTGAATAGAAAATTATTTATTGAACATGTATAGCAATGTTTAATTAAAAGCACATTTATATATGTTTAAAATTCAGCTATTTATTTTGGTGGCACTTCCTGCTTCTGCTTTTTCTTCTTCTTTATTCTTCCCTCCACTATCTGGAGTACCACTACTTTTGTAGTGTGATACGGTTTAGTAACTATTACTGTAAGCAACTGTGTGCATTTGCAGGAAACAATTTACAGTGAGAAAAAATTTGTTGCACTAACCAGTATAATTTCGCCTATAACTCAATTGTTCAAGATACTGATATAAAGGATATCAACACTGCCTGGCGTACCCACCACCAAGTTAAAATCGCAACGGCAGATTGTCACATCTAATTATAAGCTAGGGATTCTATCCCAGCAGGGTGCTCAATTTAAAACATGAAGCACAAGTAGCATTAAAGTATTTTACTATGTAATTCACTATTATACGTGTAGAGATCTGTTCCATCACCATACAATGCACATCCAGTATGTGGCCTTTGATGGCCTTTTAACGCATTTAAGGTGGTACGACTCCAGACACCAGTCTCAAACTATAGATCCATATATACCTATACAGGCATACTAAACACTTCCACTCGGCAGCGGCGGTGCCAACAATGTATTAGTTTGTGATTAGGTCTAGTTTATGGTGAACCACTAGTGGTAGGTCAATGATGTTTGGTATGCAGTTGTATTAGCATTGGCGCATCTCATTTCCATGGAGATTATTTGGCCATGCCCCCTCAGTCATGGTCTATTGACTAAAACTTTTGCTTAGTTTACATGTATTAGTTTGTGATTAGGGAACCACTAGTGGTAGGTCAATGATATTTGGTATGCAGTTGTATAAGCATTGGCATATCTCATTTCCATGGAGATTATTTGACTCCGCCCCCTCAGTCATAGTCAATTGACTTTGAAACTTTTGCTTAGTTTACATGTATTAGTTTGTGATTAAGTCAGTTTATGGGGAACCACTAGTGGTAGGTCAATGATATTTGGTATGCAGTTGTATAAGCATTAGCATATCTTATTTCCATGAAGATTTTTTGACTCCACCCCCTCAGTCATGGTCTATTGACTTTGAACTTTTTGCTTAGTTTACATGTATTAGTTTGTGATTAGATCAGTTTTAGATGAAGTCAATGATATTTGGTATGCAAATTTATTGGCATTTGCAAGTCTTTTTCCATGGAGATTATATAGCCCCATCCCTTTATCATGGTTCATTGATTTTGAAATTTTTACATAGTTTACAAGTTAATGTTTGTGGTTAGCTAGGTTTGTTTAAAGGGAAGACTTATGATAAGTCAATTGTATTTGGTATGCAGTTGTATTAGCATTGGCACATCTCATTTCCAAGGAGATTGTTTAGCAATGTACCTTCAGTCATGCTTCATTGACTTTGAATATTTGCATAACTTGCATGTTAAAGTATTGCTAATTTAATTTCAACCTTTGCATTATCAAAATTACAAAGAGGCGAGACATATCTCTGTGTTAACAGTTTATTTAATGACCTTTTTAAAAATGCATTGTACCTCAACCACTTTTAAAGAGGACTCTTAAACAACTCATGTAGAAATCTCTGTAAGAATGTAAGAATAAGCCTGTCTCCGCCGGAAGAAAGCAAATTAAATACAACATTCTTAATAGGTTTTATGAAGTCTCAAAGAATTGAATTGAAATTTGCATTATTTGTGAGAGGCCAGTAATTGTTTTCAAACTCATTTTAAGATTCCAATATTCCTAGTTTTGCATATTGATCCAATTTAGAAATGATACATGTACATGTACATATATTAGGTCAACATATCTTGTGTTATCTATCTATATATTGTGGTCATGTGACCAAGATATACATGTACAATGTAACATACAAGTGACAAAATATTTGCTGCAGAGTTTGATTTTGCTGTGAGGTAAATATTTATCCTATATTTGATTGGTTATACTGGATTACCACATGTTACATGTTAGTTCTGATGAACTGACAGTTTATTGATTGTGATACAATTCTGTTGTGAGAATTTGACAGGTGGTTAGCTCCAATTTCAGTACATGCAGAAATATTTTGACTGAAGAGTCAGTGAAATCTTAACAACTGTACAAACATATTTATTTGCATGGACAACATTCTACTTAACTTTAAAAACAAGTATACTGCAGTTAAAATTGGTACTGTCCTAACTTGGGAAAGTATGGAATTATTGTCCATATGTTCACATCTACAAAATGACATGACTCCATTGTGATTCATTCTAACTTTGAACCTGATTGTTGTTGTCGACAAACTTGACACAAGTAAACTTAAATCACATATTGTCATCTTCTTTATATAACACCATATCTGGCCCAAAAGACTCTGTATGAACTAGAGGCAACTTCTCTTCATTATAAGAAGACGTGTCACATCTAATTGTAAGAAGACGTGTCACGCTATGCACATGTGTTCCTCCTGAACACAAAAATCCCAAGTCTCCAAATCTTTATTCCTATATGCATTTGAGGTGTGGATTAGGATTTTGAAAACATGGGTGTCCCAACAAGGAAACGTTAGGAATGGGACTTGAAAAAAGTCTGCATTAACCATATGTATTTCTCCTAAAGGGTCCTTGGCCTCCTCCCCCTACATCTGCTTCTGCTTGTAACAGGATTTCTCTGATTTTGTTAATACACATATTACAGGATTTTCCTTGTTGTAACGGACAGATTTATATATTCAAACTTGTACCAGGAAAAGTGTACAACATTATATATTTTGGTAATTTGTTACAATTTTTTTGGATCTTGATCTTCAGAAATATCTCAACAAGACTTTTGTGTCCAGAAATGTTTACTTTTTGGATTTATATGACATGTACTTTGTATTATCTGCACCACACTACACATTGTATCTAATTCTTTTGAACTAATTAAAATTTAAGCAAAATTTCGTAGAATATTTACCATGTATTGCCAATGTGTACCATACCTCCTCTTATAATTTTTGTCGAGCCTTCGACTTTTGTCGAAAAAGCGAGACATAGCGATCCTACATTCCGTCGGCGTAGTCGGCGGCGGCGTCCACAAATATTCACTCTGTGGTTAAAGTTTTTGAAATTTTAATAACTTTCTTAAACTATCCTGGATTTCTACCAAACTTGGACAGAAGCTTGTTTATGATCATAAGATAGTATCCAGAAGTAAATTTTGTAAAAAAAATAATCCAGTTTTTCCGTATTTTACTTATAAATGGACTTAGTTTTTCTGCCAGTTAACATGACATTCACTCTGTGGTTAAAGTTTTTAAAATTTTAATAACTTTCTTAAACTATCCTGGATTTCTACCAAACTTGGACAAAAGCTTGTTTATGATCATAAGATAGTATCCAGAAGTAAATTTGTAAAAAACAAAATTCCATTTTTTCCGTATTTAACTTATAAATGGACTTAGTTTTTTCTGCCAGTTAACATTACATTCACTCTGTGGTTAAAGTTTTTAAAATTCTAATAACTTTCTTAAACTATCCTGGATTTGTACCAAACTTGGTTAGAAGCTTGTTTATGATCAAAAGCTAGTATCTTGAAGGAAATTTAAAAAAATTTTGTACCTGATTATCAGTATTTTACTTATAAATGGACTTAGTTTTTCTGCCAGTTTACATTACATACAGTCTGCAGTTAAAGATTTAAAACATTTATTAGATTCATAAACTATCCTGGATTTTTACCAAATTGGGACAGAAGCTTCTTACAATCAAAAGATTGTATCGAAAGTAATATTGTTATTATTTTTTTTCCTCATTTTTGTTGAGCCTGCGATTAACAGCAAAAGTAGGCGAGACACTGGGTTCCGCAGAACCCTTACGAATTTTTTTTATACAAATTAATTTTTGGGGTTCCCATTAGCAAATCATTTTGCAAGGAGCAGGGGGTATCATTTGTGAGCACCAACTGTACCTAAAGTTAATAGTGGATTTATTATGATGTTGAGCGTAAGAATTTTTCAAATTTTTATGCCCCGCCGTACAGAGGGGGCATTATGTTTTACCCTTGTCTGTCTGTACATCCCTCCGTCCGTCCGTACGTCCCAAAGTTGTTTTCCGTTCTCCACTAGTTTGCCTCAACCAAATGTTATGAAACTTATACACTATGCTTATTACCACAAAACACAGATCAAGTTTGAATTTTGGTGGCGTCACTTTTACCGTTCTAGAGTTATGCCCTTTACAAATGGAAAAATTGCTAAATATTTCGTTTCAGTTCTCTAACTTTAGTTTGCCTCAGCCAAATGTTATGAAACTTATGCACAATGCTAATTACCACAAAACTCAGATCAAGTTTGAGTTATGGTGGTGTCACTTTTACTTTAGAGTTATGCTTTTCAGTACTCTAACTTTAGTTTGCCTCAACTAAATGTTGTGAAACGTATACACAAAATGCTTATTTCCACAAAACCAAGTACAACTTTGGGTAGTGTCACTTTTACAGTTCTTGAGTTTTGTCCCTTTATAACGTTATATGCAAGCGGGGGCATCATCTGTGTTCCATGGACACATTCCACATTTATTCCTTAATATTAACCTCATCTGGCATTTACCATTTCCTGATTGTGGACCTTGTACTCTTTCAAACAATTGAACAAATTAAAATAAAACTTGACAATATTGATAATTGGGTGTCTAGATAATATTTGGTTTATCAACCAACATGGCCACAATGGCTAATATAAGAAGTTGATGATGAATTGCAATAAATGGTCCTTGATTACTTTAACAATGACACTTATAAGAGTTGTAAAAATCTAGTTTGCTATCATTTGGCAGCCTCTTGTTACCTTTTATTTCCATTTTTGTTTCCAAGATCTTCACCTCTGAAACTACTGAGCAAATTCAAACTAAACACGAAATGAATGATCCTTAGTGTGTTTAGATTTTTGTTTATGAATTTGAATGCCAAAGGCTCCAGATTCATTCATCAATAAAAACTGGCTGCCACAATATAGCCAACATTGCTGAAAGATTAAGTGAAACACCAACAATCAATCAGTCAATATAATGTGACCTATCAACCAACATGGCCTTTTATAGCTGACTATACAGTATATAGGTTTGGTCATTGTTGGAGACTGGGCAACCCTTAAGGAATTCTTTGTTTCGTATTGCCTACCCATGACTTGTAGGATTGGGTAGGTAGGAAGGAATTTTTTTGGCCAACAACATAAGTGACATGTTTTAGAAAAGAAAACAACGTAAGAACAGGAAAAGATCTTTTAAAAAAAAAATTCATAAAATTTTTTCGGTGGGCTGCTTTTTATTTGGGTAGGTAGGCAACATCAAACAATTTATTTTGACCAGGTATAGTGACTTCTTATTGCTTAGATCCGTGTCACTCTGGTGGATAGTTGTTTAATTGGCAATCATACTGCATTTCTTTATTTTTATGATGACCACCACGACTTAAAGTAGGTCAAAGAGTTAAAATGTCATACCACATCTTCCTATATCTAAGTAATTTTCATATATAGATATAAAAAGATGTGGTATGAGTGCCAATGAGATAACTCTCTATCCAAGTCAAAATTTGTAAAAGTAAACCATTATAGGTCAAAGTACGGCCTCAACAGGGAGCCTTGGCTCACACCGAACAGCAAGCTATAAAGGGCCCCAAAAATGACTAGTGTAAAACCATTCAAACAGGAAAACCAACGGTCTAATCTATATAAAAAACAAGAAAAGAGATACACGTATGAACCACATCAACAAACGACAACCACTGAACATCAGGTTCCTATATGTCTAACGACAACCACTGAACATCAGGTTCCTATATGTCTAACGACAAGCACTGAACATCAGGTTCCTATATGTCTAACGACAACCACTGAACATCAGGTTCCTATATGTCTAACGACAACCACTGAACATCAGGTTCCTATATGTTTAACGACAACCACTGAACATCAGGTTCCTATATGTCTAACGACAACCACTGAACATCAGATTCCTATATGTTGAACAACAACCACTGAACATCAGGTTCCTATATGTCTAACGACAACCACTGAACATCAGGTTCCTATATGTTTAACGACAACCACTGAACATAGGTTCCTATATGTTTAACGACAACCACTGAACATCAGGTTCCTATATGTCTAACGACAACCACTGAACATCAGGTTCCTATATGTCTGGTTAACTGTAGTAGCAACAGTTAGAACATTAGAAATCAGACAGGAGAAAAATGCTTGAAGAAGTTTCAGACATTTCTTGTTGGATTTATTGATTTTTAATGATGATTTTATTTAAATTAGCAGTTTTGTATATTATCTTGAAAACTTACAAGGATAGAAAAAATGGTACACAAGAAAATTGCTAAACCTACAAATAAACTTGTTGGTTATATTTTGATGATTGCTTAGGGTAGGTCCACTTGATTTTGGTTTGGGGGAGGGTGGGGGCGCTTGCATGTATGTAAGTAATACTTTTTTTCCAGATTTCCAGTATAATTTATTTATACTAGATGAACAATTCAGGCTCAATGGTAGATTATTTTTTTAATCAATTATTTTGGGGTTTTCCATAACAAAACAAGGACTTTTCCGTACTGACGGTAAGAAGAAGGTTTAAGAGTTCATTATGTTCTTTTTTAATGACTTGTACATTCTCCATTCTTGTTGATAGATGTATTATGCAATAAAGAAATGTTATTTCTAGGTATAAATGTCAAACAGTGATAACATATTGTTCTATTGATATTTTACAGGTGATGAAGTGAAAGTTATTAAACCTAAAACAGATGTCAACAAAACAACTCAGGTAAGCACAGGTGAAAACCTGCATAAGACCTGTAGAATAATCAGAAAAAAGTCAGTCTAGAGCAAATAAAGGCTGAATGATAAGAATAAAAATAATTAAATCACAAAAAAATGTTACAGTAAAGGCAGGTGAAAACCTGCAAAATAAAACACATTAGTGATGTCACAGATGTGAACCTGTTGACACCACAATGATTTACATCAGAACAAAATAAAAAAATTACCTATAGCCTTTTCTGTAGAATTTATTATAACCATTATTAGTATCCATAAAAGTACAAATTTTGGTACCCACAAAAATAAGCAAATCATTAAAGATCAGTTTCACTTTTTACTACATTGTCCAAAGCTGCTGCTTCATGGATGTGTGGCTAAAAATGTCAAATTTTCAAGTTAAGGTGGGAAAAAAAGTTAAGGATGAGTTTGTTCTCTGAATGATTGGCTAGACAACAAACTTCTTCCTATACAAGCATATGTTGGTAAATGATATTTTTTATGCCCCCACCGTAGCGGATGGGGCATTAAGTGTTGCCCTTGTCCGTCTGTCGTGTACATCCCCAAAATAGGTTTTTCGTTCTCTAACTTTAGTTTACCAAAACCAAATGTTTTAAAACTTATACACAATGCTTATTACCACAAAACACAGATCAAGTTCGAAATTGGGTGGCGTCACTTTTACGGTTCATGAGTTATGCCCCTTTATAAATATAAAAATTGCTGAATTTTTCGTTTCCGTTATCTAACTTTAGTTTGCACCAACCAAATATTATGAAACTTATACACAATGCTTATAATCACAAAGCGGTCTTAACTAGGTGAATCTTGTATCTGTATGTGGAAGTTGACTCGTGCATATTTACAAGTGGGGGGGGCATCTGTGGCCCATAGACACATTCTCCATTTATTTCTTTATATTTTTTATTTAATATGCGTTAGAGAGCACATCACTATACCATCAAATAAACAATGTCTTTTGTAGGCTTCCTCCGCTAGTCTAAGTGATGAGAATTGGCCAGCATTACACGAAGTTACTGAGGTAAGTCTCCAATATACAATACACAAAAGGCATGCTTAGAGAAAAGAAATTGAAAAAAGATGATACAAATATTTCTGAATAAGATGATTGACTAGGTATATTGTCAGCAATGTGGAGATGATGTATATTTCTATCCGTGTTTCACCTGAGTAAACATTGATTACACCTGATGATTCTGATCCACATTTTAGGTAATTCATGTTTCACCTGAGTAAACTGATCACACCTGATGATTCTGAGCCACATTTTAGGTATTTATCCGTGTTCCACCTGAGTAAACTGAATATACCTGATGATTCTGATCCACATTTTAGGTATCCTTGTTTCACCTGAGTAAACTGATTACACCTGATAATTCTGATCCACATTTTAGGTAATTTGTGTTTCACCTGAGTAAACTGATCACACCTGATGATTCTGATCCACATATGCATTTTAGGTATTGCCATCCTTTGGTCATTAAGGGAAAACATCTCCTTTTTACCTTAACTTTTCATGCTTACCCTAACATATTTTATGGATGTTATTGCCTGTTTTGGGTCAGCACCATTTAACTCCAGAACATTTCTGTATAAACAAAGTCTTATGTAAAACATTAAAACAAAAAATTAAAAACATTTTTTAATACCTTCCTAGCCTTTTTTCGGCCAGGCGTCAGGAAACTTTTTATTGCCAAAAAAAAAAAAAACCATGAAACAGTTCACCAGCAATTTAATTGTCCTCTGATAAGCCAGGCATGTTATCTCATACACAATGATATTGTCCTTTTAACCAGGACAGCCCACTTGTACATTCTAGTTTGCCAATACAACAGGACTTTTTCTTGTTAAATAGACTGTTTCTGAAAATAAGGGCTACTAGTTAAAGGACACATGCCCATAATATCCCAATCAAATGTTAACTAATGTACCATATACTTGAAGGGAATTGATACAAAAACTTTATAATGCTATACACTAGTCATTAAAGTAACCAATGAAACTTGCCGTAAAGAACTGTTCATCAGGTATCCATTAAAAAAATAAAACAAACCTACAATATTGTTTACCCTAAATTGCACACATCAATGGATTCCTATCGAAGGTCAGTGGTTTTCTCCGGGCAATCAGGCTTCCTCCACCAATAAAAACTGCCCGTCACGAAATAGCCCAAAAGCGGTGCTTAAAAGTGGCGTTAAAAGACCAAAAATCAAATCAATCAATCACACATCAATGGATATCAGATGATCATATCTGTCAAAAACCATTTATTTTTAGACACAGACATCAAAGAAACCAATGAAAACTGCTGTTACAAACCAACCATCTGCTGGCTCATCAGGCAGCCAATCACAGGGCAGTGATTCAGGGGGAGAAGATTCCTCAAAGGAAAATAAAGATACTTCCAGTAATAATGGAGATGGTCCTGGAACTCCTAGGCGTAGCCGGGGAATTCGCAGTAAGTATTTATTGGTTAAGGAATTCCTGATTAGTTAGTATTAGTCTTTGAACTCCTGATCTTGGCTGAGGTGAAAAATGCAAATTTGCAATGGAATTATTTTAACTGAGCAAGAAAAAGAAAAGATTGTATTGGTCTTGGAAATCTCAGGCTTAAATGAGAAAAAACAACAATAAGCTTGTTTTGGACATGAAATTAAAAAAAAAAACCATTGCTGAAGGACAGATTTTGAGCCAGGGCTTGAGAGACTGCCAACCTGAATGTGTGATAAATCCAGGGTTCACTGCCTAATGAAGCAATTTTAGGGCAGGGAGGATTCATTTTACGAAGAAATCATAATGGTTAATGAACTGGAACAGTGCTATATTAAGACTGTACACGTGTGATAAAAAAATGTATTTAAACAAACACCAGCATTTAGATGAATGAGTAATCCTCTCCACAAGGTATCACACTTGTAGCCTCTTGAGGCCTTCAAAGAGCAATAACTCCAGCTTAAATTTCTGGTTTAACACATCAGAACACATTTTTATGTTTATATGCCTGTAGCTGGTAGAGTTCAGGGAGAGGAAAGCGGATTAAAAATGGAAACATACTGCCTTATTTACTCCTTCACAAACTTTACTAGGGCAAACTTGTTCATGTTATTGTTGACAAGTGGAAAATGGCTTATACTGGTCATGGACTTTCTGAGCAAAACTTAGAAAAAACAGTCTTAGTTTGGTGCTTGAACTTTCTAATGTAGAGGATGAAAGCTTGTGTGGTTAATTATAGCTAAGGAAAATACATATATGTCCTTGAAATCGTAGATGTAGGTGTTTTTGGTCCTAGAACTAATTGACAAAGCTAAGGAAAACAGTTCAAGGTCCTGGACTAACCAAGAAAAAAAAACCTATAAGCCTATATTGGCATATCCATTGGACCTAGTACTCCCATGCATTTAAGAAAAATCAATTGAAAAAGACATTTGAACTCCGAGGAAAAATCACATTTGAATGGGTATTGGCACACCTATGCATTTAGAAAATCTGAACAGAATAACTAAGTATGAGTGAAAGTACAGTAGAATAACTAAAGCTCCATTAAGTCATACTTGATGGTTTTACTCTTAGAATGACTAAAGCTCCATTAAGTCATACTTGATGATTTTACTCTTAGAATGACTAAAGCTCCATTAAGTCATACTTGATGGTTTTACTCTTAGAATGACTAAAGCTCCATTAAGTCATACTTGATAGTTTTAGTTTTAGAATGACTAAAGCTCCATTAAGTCATACTTGATGTGAAAGTACAGTAGAATGACTAAAGCTCCATTAAGTCATACTTGATAGTTTTACTTTTAGAATGACTAAAGCTCTATTAAGTCATACTTGATGTGAAAGTACAGTGATTGACTAAAACTCCATTAAGTCATACTTGATAGTTTTACTCTTAGAATGACTAAAGCTCCATTAAGTCATACTTGATGTGAAAGTACAGTAGAATGACTAAAGCTCCATTAAGTCATACTTGATAGTTTTAGTTTTAGAATGACTAAAGCTCCATTAAGTCATACTTGATGTGAAAGTACAGTAGAATGACTAAAGCTCCATTAAGTCATACTTGATAGTTTTACTCTTAGTATGACTAAAGCTCCATTAAGTCATACTTGATAGTATTACTTTTAGAATGACTAAAGCTCCATTAAGTCATACTTGATAGTTTTACTCTTAGAATGACTAAAGCTCCATTTAGTCATACTTGATAGTTTTACTCTTACAATGATCAATAACATAAATTAATATGAAAATTTTCAGGTTCCAAGCAGAAATGGGTCCCATTAGATATTGAAACAAAAGGTCGTAGAAGTCGCAGTCAGGGGAGACTGCCTAATGGACGTGGAAAGTTTGACCGAAGACCAGACAGTAGAGGAGAAATCCGAGGTAAGACATAGACAAACTTACATGTCCATACTTCCAAAGTCTCCATACAAGCCTATATAAAATTTGTAATTCAACATTTAATTTTGTGTTTATAGAAAATAAAGACATCAACACCCATGTTATACCGCTAGATTATATCTGTATAATGTCTATATGTTTAAAGTACATTGTATGTGGACTTCCGGAATTTGATAAAAGCGGAAGTGGTAACAAATATATAAATAGAAATGAAGGTAGAAATTGAAAATAGAAATTAAGAATAAAAGATTAAAAATAAAATGAGTTATTTCTAGAATTGTCATTTTCCTGTCGATCTGTTTATATAAATATGATTGTGTGGGTTCCGTACATGGTAATAGAATAAAGTTCTTGTTGGGTTATGTCACGTCACAATTGTTGGTTTGACGACTTTAAAACGAAACTAAAAGTAAAAGTTATAAATTATCTGTATCTTTTCCAAAATAGACAACACCTCACTGGAGATTCCGTACCATTTCAAATGGCTTCACTCTGAAGGAGGATACTGCTTCCAAATGTGTTGGGAATGTTGTGAAATGTATGGTTGTAGCACATATAGGGAATAATACGGCTATCTGTTGTGTCTGGGACTTGATGTTTTGTGTAAAATCAGTAGGATCTTGGCACATATTTATTCTCTAAGTTCCGGGTCAGGTATTTAGGCCTTGGACATGTAGATTCTGGTAGATTATCCTGGTTGTTATGGCTATACAAGGGTGATCATTAGATGTATTGTGTACCCAAGTCTAAGTGCACCTCTTTAGTTGCAGTTACACAGGCTTAAAGAATTGCTTAAGAGTTGTATTAGAATATTGTTTCCACATTGTGTTAAAGATAGTACAATACTTTAACAAATTTCTTAATTTTTATGTCAATATGAAAGATGGATTTAATCAATAGTATGAAATAAATGTTTTCTGTATCTGCAAAACATCACTCAAACAGCAGTGAGAATGCCATAAATGGCTTAAAATTTAAAAAAATGTTCTGGGGGCTCATACCCCCTAACATGTTTGCTTCGCCTTGCCATGCTCACCAGCGACACTACTGACACAAACCTCAATATACTGACAGAAAGGATGCTGACTTCTGATGGTGTTCAAAATGAGAAAACAGCTCTGTATTAGGTGCAATTTGTGATTTCTTGAGGTACATTTGGTGGAATTTGATAAAACTGATAGAAGTGGTTTATAGTAGGGAAAGGGAGAGAAAATCTGTCGATTTTTAAGGTCACAAGAATCAAGGTCAAGGTCAGATTTGCTAAAAATATCAGTAGAATGTATGAAATTCTTTAAAACTTGGGTATTTTATGGGGCATTTACCTCCATATATGGCTTGTTAGCCAGGGTCAAGTGAAAACCTGACTGAAAAATCATAGGCTCAAAACGTGGTTTCTGTAAATCAAGTGTCTGTAGGAAGCATTTATGACACATAAAAAGATAGAAAATTCATCGGCAATATCATTGAGCATGTAATGTCTTCTTCCCAGTTAAAGTTTCTAATTATGCCCCAGCCGTAACGGAGGGGGCATTAAGTTTTACCCTTGTCCGTCTGTACGTCCGTCCGTCTGTCCGAAAATTGGTTTCCATTTTGCCTCAACCAAATGTTATGAAACTTATACACAATGCTTATTACCACAAAACACAGATTGCGTTTGAATTTTGTTGGCGTCACTTTTACTGTTCTAGAGTTATGCCCCTTTACAAATGGAAAAATTGCTGAATTTTTCTTTTCCGTTCTCCTACTTGAGTTTGCCTCAACCAAATGTTATGAAACTTATACACAATGCTTATTACCACAAAACACAGATCGAGTTTGTATTTTGGTGGCGTCACTTTTACCGTTCTAGAGTTGTGCCCCTTTACAAATGGGAAAATTGCTGAATTTTTCGTTTCCTTTCTCTAACTTTAGTTTGCCTCAACCAAATATTATGAAACTTATACATAATGCTCATTACCACATAACACAGATTAAATTTGAATTTTGTAGGCATCACTTTTACCATTCTAGACTTATGCCCCTTTACAAATGGAAAAATTGCTGAATTTTTAGTTTCCGTTCTCTAACTTTAGTTTGCCTCAACCAAATATTATGAAACATATACACAATGCTAATTACCACAAAACTCAGATCAAGTAAAAATTTGGGTAGCATCACTTTTACAGTTCTTGAGTTATGTCCCTTTTTAACGTTATAAACAGTGGGGGGGCATCATCTGTGTCCCATGGACACATTCCCTATTTATTTTTCAAAAGCTTTTGTCCCAATAATGATAACAACACCTACATATATTTATTTTTCCTATTTTATTTTGACGTGGTACAAAGAGCCACGTGAGATATTGCCAAGACTTTATGTCAGTTGTTGTCAGCCATTGTTGTCTGTTGTTGTAAACTCTTTAAAAAAATCATCTCCTCTATAAATCTTCATTTCTGAAACTAATAGGGCAAAAGTTACCAAACTTATCCTGTTTGTTTCTATTAGGGTCTTGGAATTTAGATTAAATTGTAACGGGGGATTTGATCCATTAACAAACATGGCCTCTGTTGCTTAATTGGAACACAGGTGAATTGCAGATTTTGGCTTATATCTCCAAAACTTAAGCAGTTATACCAAAACTGACAGAGGAAAAAAATAATCATCAGGTCAGCTTCTATCTGCTATGAAATTTTCAGTAAAAAATCAGACAGCCTATTTTGGAGTGATCACCTCAAAAACGTCCTTTTGAAGCAAATTTCACAGTTTTATACACCGGTTCAGTGTTTTCCCCAGGGCCTTTTAGCATCATGGTAATGTGATGCTATCTGAATTGCGTTTACAGGACGTATTATGGTATACCGTTGTCCGTCGTCAAAATGTCCGATAACAACTCAAAAATGATTTAACCAATTTGCATTTGACATTGAGAGGTTATTGAACTTTATTCTTTGAAAACGCGACGGGCTTATCATGCGCTCATGGTGCAGCTGTTTATTGGGTATTATCTTGAAAACTTAATACATAGAAACTATACACAGTTTACAAATAAGTGAACATGGCTGAAGTCAATTCACAATTAATAGGTGTTATTGCCCTTGAAAGATGATTTTGTCTTATTTTTTGCAGAAACTCTAATAGATAGAGAGAAACTGTATAAGCAAAAAAATTCAGCAAAATAAGATCAACAAAAAAGTCTACTTGGTCAAAATGGTAAATTGACCCCTCATTGCCCTTGACAGGTGATTGTTACCCATTTTTGCAGAAACCATACATAGCAAAGATGTAAAGCACAATAAGATATACAAATAAGTTGTCATGGCTGAAAATATCAACATGTAATAGGAATTATTCCTCCTAAGTGAATATTTTTACCTGTTTTTGAGTTTTATTCAGAAACTATATTAGATAAATATAGAGAAATTGTAAAAAAGCAAACATTTTCAGCAAATTAATTCTTAAAATAAATCAACGTGGCCAAAGATGTTGATTGACCCCTTAGAGGGGTTATGTTCTCTAAAAGACAATTTCATGCCATTGTTGCATTTTTGCAGAAATTTCAATAGAATGATGTAAACTGTAAACATACAAAATGTTCTGGTAAATCATAATTATCTTGAGAAATAAGTTTTTACTAATCTATAATTTTGACAATTATCTCAAAAACTTTAATACAGAGATGGAACCTTTGAAACTGTTATCATCAATACAAGATCTTACAAAAATGCCACTAAATAAGATTTACAAATAAGGAAACATAACAGTGCAATAAAGGTAGATATAAATATGGGAATGGCATAGTGAGGGATTCAGGCTCTTGTTTTTAAGGTGACATTTATCAAAGTGTTATTTTTCAAGTTTTAGCAGCAAAAATCTAACTCCAAAATCACTTTTTTTCGTATGGTAAAATCATTTGTACGAGAATAAGAGTGTGTGAATGAAATTGGTATGGCCTTAGATTGAGGTGATTTTGTATTAATAATTTCCTGGAGATAAATCATGCATGTTCTTATTTTCACCCTGAGGACAAACAAGAGTATTTTGAGATGGTCCCTGTTGTATGATTGACAGTACGAGATGGCCCCTCTAATGTCTTTTTGTCTGATTGATGGTTTCCAAAACCACATTTAGGTCAGGATTTGATGATTACCTGGGCTGGTTTGACCTAAAGTGAATTTTGACCATATGGAATTAAGATAAAATGATGTCCTTATGTCTTTATCATCAAGGCTTACAAAATATAGCACATATGAAAGGTAGGTAACACGTCATTTATTGATGAGGTGTCAGGTGGGCAGTAATTACGGTCCGGTCCTATGTCCTACAAAATTCTCATTTAAAGCATGCTTATAATTCTTTAATAGACATCTTTCTAAATACTCAAAACTTGGTACCCATGCTTATTTTCAATCTAGAAACACTTGAAATGTGGGTGCATTGAGGTAAAGACTTGAAATAAACATTTGATCACCAGGTGGCAGTTAATTACAATGACTTGTCCTTAATGATGTCCATGTGTCTGTTTCAATCACAATGTTTATAATATCTGTCATGTCTGTCAGAGAGGTGTTGTAAGGACACCCTTAACTGTACAAATTATCAGATCTTGCCTGACTCTTATAGATTTTGTCTTGATTCATTGTCAGATCTCTCATGGAATTATATTTTGTAAAATTGCAGATTTTTATTTTTACATTAATGGTATAATTAAGATAACTATCTTTAATTGAAAGTTTGAGAAAGTTAATTGAAAGTTTGAGAAAGTTTTAATACCAGATTGATCTGATTTCTAAAGGTGGCCACAGATTTAATTTTGTAAATGCTGACTTCAATAAATTTAAAAAAATTACTACATTTATATATGTCAATTTTAAATGAAAGTAGACTTGTACACTGAACATAATTTCTCTGATTCTGTTAATACACATATAACAGGATTTTCCTTGTTGTAACTGACAGATATATATATATTTATACATGTACCAGGAAAAGTCTACAACATTATATATTTTAGTAATTTGTTACAATTTTTATACGACCGCAAAAATTGAAAATTTTTTGGTCGTATATTGGTATGACGTTGTCGTCGTCGTCGTCGTCCGGCGTCGTCCGAAGACACATTGGTTTTCGCACTCTAACTTTAGTTTAAGTGAATGGATCTCCATGAAATTTTACCATAAGGTTCAATACCACGAAAGGAAGGTTGGGATTGATTTTGGGGGTTATGGTACCAACAGTTAAGGAATTAGGGGCCAAAAAGGGGCCAAAAATAAGCATTTTTGTAATTCCAGACAATAACTTGTGTGTAAGTGTATGGATCTCTCTGACATTGTACCACAAGGTTCCATATCACAACGGGAAGGCTGTAATTGATTTTGGGGGTAATTGCCTCAAAATTTTAGGAATTAGGGGCCAAAAAAGGGGCAAAAAACAAGCATTTTTCTAGTTTCATGACAATAACTTGTGTGTAAGTGTTTGGATATTTCTGAAATTGTACTACAAGGTTCCATATCACAAAGGGAAAGCTGGAATTGAGTTTGGGGGTAATTGCCTGAAACGTTTAGGAATTGGGGGCCAAAAAGGGGCCAAAAATAAGCATTTTTCTAGTTTCCAGACAATAACTTGTGTTCAAGTGTATGGATCTCTCTGAAATTGTACTGCAAGGTACCATACCACAAAGGGAAGGCTGTGATTGAGTTTGGGGGTGATGAATCATAAGGGGGTTCAAAAAATTTGGGGGGGGGATTTTTTTTTTTTCTTTTTTTTTTCTTTTTTTCCTTTTTTTTTTCTTTTAAAATTTTCCATTTTAAGTTGGTTATTTCTGATTAATATTTAAAAGCAAATAATAATGATATGGTAGGAGTTACACACCAAACAGGATGTGTAAATTATTATATAATAAGTATTGTGCAATAGCAAGAAATTTTCAATTGCACAGTATTGCACAATTGCAAGAAATCTTCAATTGCACAGTATTGCGCAATAGCAAGAAATCTTCAATTGCACAGTATTGCGCAATAGCAAGAAATATCCAATAGCACAATATTGCGCAATAGCAAGAAATTGTCAATTGTACAGTATTGCACAATAGCAAGAAATATTCAATTGCACAGTATTGTGCAAAAGAAGATACTTCGTATAAATTGCTTATTTCTTGATCAATTTCAATGGGGTTTTATTCTTGAATTCTTGGGGTTCTTTAATATGCTGAATCTAACCGTGTATTAAGTTTTTGGATTTTGGGCCCCGTTTTTAAATTGGTCTACATTAAGGTCAAAAGGGTCCAAAATTAAACTTAGTTTGATTTTAACAAAAATTGAATTATTGGGGTTCTTTGATATGCTGAATCTAACCGTGTATTTAGATTCTTGATTATGGGCCCAGTTTTCAAGTTGGTCCAAATCGGGGTCCAAAATTAAACTTTGTTTGATTTCAACAAAAATTGAATATATGGGGTTCTTTGATATGCTGAATCTAACCATGTATTTAGATTTTTGATTTTTGGGCCCCGTTATCAACTTTGTCCACATTGAGGTCAAAAGGGTCCAAAATTAAACTTTGTTTGATTTCATCAAAAATTGAATTCTTGGGGTTCTTTGATATGCTGAATCTAACCATGTATTTAGATTTTTTATTTGTGGACCCGCTATCAAATTGGTTCATATTGAGGTCAAAAGGGTCCAAAATTAAACTTTGTTTGATTTCATCAAAAATTGAATTATTGGGGTTCTTTGATATGCCAAATCTAACCGTGTATTTAGATTTTTAATTTTGGGTCCCGTTTTTAAATTGGTCTACATTAAGGTCCAAAGGGTCCAAAATTAAACTTAGTTTGATTTTAACAAAAATTGAATTCTTGGGGTTCTTTGATATGCTGAATCTAAACATGTGTTTAGAATTTTGATTATGGGCCCAGTTTTCAAGTTGGTCCAAGTTGGGGTCCAAAATTAAACTTTGTTTGATTTCAACAAAAATTGAATATATGGGGTTCTTTGATATGCTGAATCTAAACATGTATTTAGATTTTAGATTTTTGGCCCAGTTTTCAAGTTGGTCCAAATTGGGGTCCAAAATTAAACTTTGTTTGATTTCAACAAAAATTGAATATATGGGGTTCTTTGATATGCTGAATCTTACCATGTATTTAGATTTTTTTTTTGTGGGTCCGCTATCAAATTGGTTCATATTGAGGTCAAAAGGGTCCAAAATTAAACTTTGTTTGATTTCATCAAAAATTTAATTATTGGGGTTCTTTGATATGCCAAATCTAACCGTGTATTTAGATTTTTAATTTTGGGTCCCGTTTTTTAAATTGGTCTACATTAAGGTCCAAAGGGTCCAAAATTAAACTTAGTTTGATTTTAACAAAAATTGAATTCTTGGGGTACTTTGATATGCTGAATCTAAACATGTGTTTAGATTTTTGATTATGGGACCAGTTTTCAAGTTTGTCCAAGTTGGGGTCCAAAATTAAACTTTGTTTGATTTCAACAAAAATTGAATATATGGGGTTCTTTGATATGCTGAATGTAACCATGTATTTTGATTTTGGACATTGGACCATAATAGGTAAATTAAAAAAATTGAAGTTCTTAGACCACATTCTTTCTGTGTCAGAAACCTATGCTGTGTCAAATATTTAATCACAATCCAAATTCAGAGCTGTATCAAGCTTGAATGTTGTGTCCATACTTGCCCCAACTGTTCAGGGTTCGACCTCTGCGGTCGTATCAAGCTGCGCCCAGCGAAGCATTTTATTTGGATCTTGATCTTTAGAAATATCTCAACAAGACTTGTGTACAGCAATGTTTAGTTTTTGGATTAATATGAGGTGTACTTTGTAATAGTACACATTGTATCTATTTCTCTTGAACTTATTAAAATTTAAGCTAAATTTCATAGAATATTTACCATGTATTGCCAATGTGTACCTCCTCTTATATTTTTTTTATCCAAATTAATTTTTGGGGTTCCCATTAGCAAATCATTTTGCAAGGAGCAGGGGGTATCATTTGTGAGCTTTTCTCACTGTACCTCTAGTTAATATGTTAATAGTGGATTTATTATGATGTTGAGCATAAGAATTTTTCAAATTTCCTTGTATTATGGGTTTTTCGTGCTATTTAAAATCCATTGTGAATTCACAATTTCCATTGAAAAAGCATGCATTGTACCAATTGGTATGAGGTACGAAAACATATGATCTGACGATAATGCAAAAAGTGTAATGTCATAAAAATAGTGGTAAAAAAGGTTCTCAGGAAATCTCCCACCAGAAATGTTATTCAGTCAGTTCAGGGAAAGGTTGAGATTTCAAAAATCTAGGTATAACACTGTGACTTTTAGGGTTTTTTTTTGTCATTGGGTTGCTGTCTCTGACATTGACCTATTCTCTACATGTCCTTTTAATTTATATTCCAGTAAGAACTAGTTTGCACTTGATATAAGTACATAAATATGACAAATTACATGTCGGTAACACATCTGTTGACAGTTAAAAAATAAAAATCAATTTTAACAATAAAATGATAAATATTAAGAAAGAACACATGAAATGTATTATTAATTGAGTTTATGAAAAAATGCCACCTTTCCAAAATTTTGGAGACTCATCTATATTGTAAATAAGTTTTTATTTTAAAGGTTTTTTGAAAAATTCTGAATGATGTTAGTGTTGCCGACTGCACCAAAATCTTTTCCAACTCAATATTCAGACATTTTTGTTATGTGTCTAAACAAAGTTTTGCAAAACTTATTAGTTTGAATAAAATTTTACTAATCTGGGACATCAGACTAGTGGCTAATGGTGCAGACTGATATTATTGTGGCATTATTGTATGGATCCTCATGGTTTTGGTCCTTTGTGATTGGTCTTTTTACAAGGATACACATCAAAGAAAACCTTTGATTCTAACAATATAGATTTCACTGTACTTACATTTCCCATAGTTCAGCACATATTTTCTGTGTTTTACCTGAGGCATTTAATGTCACTGACAGGACTGTTATACATAATTACATATTTAAAACTATGTCAACATTACCCAACAATTTTACTGCAATCTAGAACGATTACCTTAATTCTGAAGTGGGAACAGTCCTTGGTCTTTTGTGTTTCCTGATCAGCTTCTGTGTTGAGCTGATACATTGTATTTCATATACTCCCGGTCTGAATTTTCAAAAAAAATATAGTGTTATCTATGTGCCTGGTTCTGAAATATTTTCAGACAAAAAAGGTCTTCTGTGTTGTAATACGTAGTTTATGATTGCAGGTCCTGATGGAAGAAACTGGAGAGATGATATGCGTCCACCAAGCCCAAGAGATGGTAGAGGTGGTTTTGGTGGGTTTAGACGAGGCAGAGGAGGGCGTGGCCGTGGAACCAGGGGGAGAGGACGAGGACGAGACTTTGGCCCAGGAGACTTAGTGGGTTAGTATTGTCAATTTTGGTCAGTAAGCTTGGCTTAGTTATGTTCAAAATGCTGTTGCCCAGGAGGCTTTTTGTGTTGATTTGTAGAGGGCTGTTGTCCAGGAGGCTTTTTGTGTTGATTTGTAGGGGGCTGTTGTCCAGCAGGCTTTTTGTGTTGATTTGTAGGGGGCTGTTGTCAAGGAGGCTTTTTGTGTCGACTTGTAGGAGGCTTGGTAGGTAAGTTTTTAGATCACCTGACCCAGTATTATCGATAAAAAAATGAATATGTAAGACTTATGTATTGACCATGCATGTTGGACCACATATTTGGATTTAAATACAAAAGAATGTTTCAACTGTTAAACCCCAAAGTAGACTGATAAAAAAGCATATTATTTGGTAGTATAAGGCATATGTTACATTCCTAATTTGCATAAAATGATTTAAAGAATTGAATCAAATTATATTACAATCTTAACTATTATGAGTTCATCAATTTTCATGTAAGTGGTCTAACTTAATTTTCATTTATTAAAAGCTATATTAAATTGATCAGTAAGAGCTTCTATAATTATGTCTTCAATTTTACGTTTCAGGTCAAGATGTCAAATACTTCAGTGCAGAATTTAATAATGAGACATTTTATGCTGAGCCATCATCAGCCCCGCCCACTGATAGAGGAAGTGGAGGAGGAGGAGGATTTAGAGGGACAGTTTATTTTAATCCCTCTTTTGTTGATGAGACTGTCTTGAAGGATTTAGTTAAAAAACAAATGTAGGTGTTTCTTTTTATAGTGTTGATTAAAAGAGTACATAAATTTTAAACATAATTGTCTCAGGTGATGTTTCGTTTAACGATCTTGAAAAGAGAAAACTAAAACTTAATATAGACAAGCTGCATCTTGATAACAATATATTTCATGTTTCAATTACTAGGAGGCAGTTCAAATCTTTGCCTTTCCGAAAAAAATAGATTCTGAAACATAGATATAAGTATGGAAAATATCTTAAGTGAGAACTGGATTCATAAGGACTCTGGGCTGTTTTGAAAAAGCCTAATAGTACTCAATAATGGGTGATTGTCAAATAGTTGTTATGTACAATAGAAATGTAAGTGATTTCTAAAATAGCCTTTATATGTTGTTACACCATTTTAAAGGTGCTTTCCCTCCAAACCCTTTATGACATTACAGAAATAAATTTGCTGTCTATGTTTACAGAGAATACTACTTCAGTGAAGACAACTTACAGAGAGATTTCTTCTTGAGAAGGAGAATGGACAAAGAGGGATGGATACCTATCAGTCTCATAGCAAGTTTCCATAGAGTTCAAGCTCTAACTCAGGATGTAGCACTTATTATTAAGGTAATTAACTCGCTGCCATGGTTATAAAAACTGCTGGATATGTATTGACAGATCCTAGTTCTGATTGAACTCAGGTTAGAATGTAGCTTTTTAGTGTTAATGGTGAAAACACACCAAGTCTTCCTCAGGGGTGTAAAGATAACCGGATACCTAGCTTATTTAAATGTCTTAACTCGGAATGTTACCTTTTTGCTAGTTTTGATTTCTTTAGGTTCTAACTCAGAATGTAGCACTTATTGTTAAGGGAAAAACACATGACACGCCTCTTCATGGGGACAAAGAGAGAGATATCTAGTTGGTTCTAATGTAAGTCATAATCTGAACTCAAAATGGTGCACTTAATGTGAAGGTAAATAATCAATGTCAACAGTGCAACTTATAAAAGTGGTTATATTTACAGAACTATACATTGAAGTTTGATTTATTTATTATTTCAGTCTTTGAAAGAAAGTGAGGTTTTGGAAATGCCTGAGGATGCACTGAAGGTTAGAGGACGAGTTACTCCTGAAAAATGGCCAATAGAAGCACCTCCTATAGGACTTCCTGTGTCATCAACTCTGCATGCTGATGTACCAGAGTTTGTCCCAGGCAAAGCTTATAACTTCCAACCAGTATATAATGGTAAGTTCACTGTCATTAAGGAAGGTCTGCATTATACAGTTTTATAAAAGAGTTTGTATTAAGCAAAGATTATTACTTTTATTTAGTATATATGTCTTAATTAGACCTCCAATCTATATACTAGAGTTTGTAGTTAGCAGAAGGAGCATATAACTCACTTCTAATAAGGTTTGCACATTGCATATTGTTAATTCAAGAATATATCTTTCCGTAGCGGAGGGGGCATTAAGTTTTACCCTTGTCCGTCCGTCCATATTAAAGTCCCAAAGTTGGTTTCCGTTCTTTTACTTTAGTTTGCCTCAACCAAATGTTATGAAACTTATACACAATGCTTATTACCACAAAACACAGATCAAGTTTGAATTTTGGTGGCGTCACTTAAACCGTTGTAGAGTTATGCCCCTTTACAAATCGAAAAATTGCTGAATTTTTCGTTTCCGTTTAACTATAGTTAGCCTCAACCAAATGTTATGAAACTTATACACAATGCTTATTACCACAAAATACAGATCAATTTTGAATTTTGGTGGTGTCATTTTAACCGTTCTAGAGTTATACCCTTTACAAAAGGAAAATTGCTGAATTTTTTGTTTCCATTCTCAAACTTAAGTTTGCCTCAACCAAATGTTATGAAACTTATACACAATACTTATTACTACAAAACTCAGATCAATAAAAAATTTGGGTAGCGTCACTTTTACCGTTCTTCAGTTATATCCCTTTATAACTTTATATGATATGCAAGCGTGGGCATCATCTGTGTCCGATGGACACATTCCCCATTTATTGTATAATTCACATATTACAAAAGTTCCTTTAAATGGTTATTTATCAGAAATAAAGCTAATGGCTGTCTGCTTATCCAATATGGCCACCAAAGCTGTTGTTGATTACTAACCTATGGTGAGAAATACATCAATAGATATAAGAAGATGTGGTATGAGTGCCAATGAGGCAACTCTCCATCCAAGTCACAATTTATAAAAGTAAACCATTATAGGTCAAAGTACGGTATTCAACACGGAGCCTTGGCTCACACCGCACAGCAAGCTATAAAGGGCCCCAAAAATTACTAGTGTAAAACCATTCAAACGGGAAAACCAACGGTCTAATCTATATAAAAAACGAGAAACGAGAAACACTTATGAACCACATCAACAAACGACAACTACTGAACATCAGATGACTGACTTAGGACAGGTGCAAACAATTGCAGCATGTTTTAAGGTTTTAATGATACCAAACCTTCACCCTTATCTGAAACAATAGTGTAACATCACAACAAGTTCCTTTAAATGGTTATTTACAAATGTATCAGAAATAAAGCCAATGACCGTCTGCTTATTAAACCAATATGGCCACCAAAGCTGATGTTGATTACTAACCTATGGTGAGAAATACATCAAGTTCCTTTAAATGGTTATTTATCAGAAATAAAGCCAATGACCGTCTGTTTATCCAATATGGCCACCAAAGCTGATGTTGATTACTAACCTATGGTGAGAAGTACATCAAGGTCCTCTAAAAAAATTATTTATGATGTCTATGACAGTTATACAACATGGCTGTTTATGATTCATAAGGCACTGTAGGGAATTTAAATCCTGTGAGACTAGTTTGTGTTAACATTGTATACCTCACATTTCCTTTTATTACTAAGTAGTTTTTATACGCCCATCATAGACGTGACTTATTATGGTATACCAATGTCTATCCGTCCGTCTGTCCGTCAACACTTTCGTACGATAACTCACGCTTTAACCAATTCTCATAATACTTTGACACAATGTAAGAATTGACAGAAGAAAGTTCTCTCTTGCTTTTTTTTTATTTTCAACTTTGTCATTCCAGAGTTACAGAACTTTGACCCTTAGATTTAAGGCTATGTATAACAAAACTAACTGTTTGATTTAAACAATATCCTCAGGCATGTTTTTCTACAGAGCTATTTTATTTGCTTATGATTAAATACCTTTGAAATATCTCATTTTATTCTTGCAACAATTTCAATATGCACATTAAGGACATATCACGCACTCTTAGCGCAGCCGTTTATTGATTATTATATAGAAAATGTGTCTGTATTTTTAATAATTTATTTTATTTATTATATGGAAAAATGTAACTGTTCTATTGATTAATATTCAGATCATCATGATGGTAACGAAGGAGATGATGAGACGACAAAGTCTGACAACGAAGACATGTTCAATGATAGCTTAGGATACCCCAACCCTAATATACTATCAACTAGTGCTCCTGAGATGACAGGAGACTGGATTCAAGTCAAGAAAAAAGACAGGACACCAAAGAAAAAGGTGGGTTTTTTCCTCTACCCCATACAAACCCTAACAAAAAATCAAATAAATTATCTTAAGATTACAGGGAAAAAAGACATCAAAGAATAGGGAAAATTATTTCTCTTCCACCATCCAGGTCCTAATATACTTTCAAGCTAATGCTCCTTAGATGACAGAAAAGATACAAGAAAAGAAAAAGTACACCATAGAAAAACAACCCTAACTATGTAGTCAAAACAAGGAAATAACTCTTCATTCATTTATTTTTGTTCATAACAGTTTTCAAGGTTGGAAAACAATTTGCATATGAGTTTACACAATTTTTCTGGTTTTATCATCTGCTACTATTATAGTAACTTGAATTTTTATTTCGTAGAGTATTCTATTTCTTGGATCCTAGATTGGTATTCACGGAATATTAAAGAATCCAATAAAATCGGACATCCACAAATATTCATGAAACCAGAGAACTTAGTATTCCATGATTATTGATAGTTCTGCTAATATTAGTATCACACAAATTTTAATGAAAACCACTTAAATTGGTATTCCACGATTTTTATTGAATTCAAAGTATCAACGTAAAATATATAGGGAAGAAAACATTATATCTCAAAATATGTGAAACTTATTTGTTTTAATAAAAATTATTTTTTTTAGGAGGAAAAAGGAGAAAAGAGGAAGAAAAGTGATGACCAACAAGAAGAACTGGATTTTATGTTTGATGAGGAAATGGAAGGTTTTGATGTTGGAAGGAGAAATCAATTTTCAGAGTGGTAAGAGAACATTTCTATCTCCAGTTTCTTTTAATTCATATCTTTGATTGATTACCATTAAAAAAAAGGTGAAAAGTATTTTTGCCAGGTTATGAATTAAGGCTGTTAGGGAGCCTCTTGTTAAATTTCTTGTCAATGTAAAATTTCTTACAGTTTGTAGAAGCTAATTTGTAAAAAGTGATTAGCAATAATCTGAACAAAAGTTTTTTCTTACATGTCATGACATCAGGTTATCAATTTCATCAGATTCTTTCTCCTGCAATAAAGTCAAGGTCATTGTGTTCTGACCTCTATACTATTTCATTATAATCTTTATTGGAAGTGAAAAGTAAGAACATTATGAAGTATTCTATTAGTAAATGGATTGTGATGTCTTCACCATTCATAATGAGGAATAAAAAAGTGAAATGTATCAGGTAGGTCAAATTATTTACAAATTTATAGGTAAAAATTATTAGAGTCTATCATAATAATAAAATAAAAATAATAAAAATAAAAATAAAAATAAAAATAAAAATAAAAATAAAAATAATAATTCTTTATTTAAATAATAATAATAATAATAATAATAATTCTTTATTTAAATAATAATAATAATAATAATAATAATTCTTTATTTAAAGAGGGTTACACAGTTAGCTATAAAACTAATCTTCCCTGAGGCCCTCATGAAATACAATAAAATATAACAAACAATTACAAAATATCAAACAAACACACATATATGAAAAAATGAAATAAAAAATTGTTATAAAATATACAATTTTCAAAACAGGTAAAAATTACAAATTCATATAGTACTGGCATCATTCAAATGACCTCAACAACAATTAAAGTTTAAGTAAGTGTAACAGCATTACTAAAGGCTTTGAATTACATATATAAATGATTTATGATGGAATAAAATGTAAGATTGATTGATTGATTGTTTGTTTAATGTCTAGTGGTAAATGTTTCATGCATTGTCTTGATCAGAACAAATGAACAATAAAGCCAATAGGTAGGTTTTGCATATAGGGTCAACTGGGAGGAAGGGCCAGAATATTGACTGCCACTGAAAAGGGGGGTTTGTTGGATAGGGGCAGAAATTTTGCATTGCAACTAACCATATATTCATCCCTCAAAATTGTTGAAAGGGTTTTTATTGTGTAGAGAGGATAATTTTAGTAGAAGATAATTGGTCTATTATAATATATATTGCAGGTCTGATGATGAGTCGGATAATGAAATAGCTGACGATGAACTTAACAAGATTCTTATAGTTACACAGACTCCACCATCACTGAGGAAACATCCAGGAGGTGACAGGACTGGAGACCATGTACGGCGTTCTAAAATGACGTCCGAAATGACTAAAATAATCAATGATGGACTTTGTTACTATGAACAGGATCTCTGGGAGAAGGAAAATGAGGTATGAAACTTAACAGTGCAGTTTTATTCATACAACCATCAGTGCATGCCACACAGTAAGTTGAATGTTCAAGCAGTTTCTTAAAAAAAATTTACACTCTTGATCTTTTTGGTAAAGATTGCATAAAATGCAATTGAAAAAAAAACTAATGTCACTGCCTTGATAGCTTAATCTTTTGAATCATCATTGAGTTCAAGCAATAGAGTTATGTGAAGTGAACATTTTTAAGATGCAATGGTTTCCCAATGACTAGCAATTTATTAACAATATATAATCAGATAATCTTTCAAGTTACAAATGATGTGTATATGTACAACCATACCAGTCAAGTAAACTATTTTAGTACATATTATTAAATAAGTGTTGCATGGGAAATTAATATATCTGTTCTAAGAAAAGGGTCAATCATGTTCAACTTAATTCTGAACAAAGAAAGATAACTCCCGATTCAAATGCGTTCCATTTAGATTAATACAATTCAATGTTTAATTTAAGTTCATATTGCAAAATGAAAGCCATTTTACCTTTCAGTGCTCATAAACCCTTTGATTTCATCTATGAAGAACAAAGGAAAAAGTAACCCCAGATTGTCTTGTAAAAAAACGATTGTATATTTTTTATTTTGTAGGATGATTTCAGCAAATATAGTACAGTGTCTGTGATAACTAAAGAAAAATATGAAGCCTTGATGCCACATTCTACAGTGGCAGCACAGAAATTACCACCTCCCCCTCCTCCTGTCACCATACAAGCAGGTAAGTCATTGATGCCACTTTCTACAGTGGCAGCACAGAAATTACCACCTCCCCCTCCTCCTGTCACCATACAAGCAGGTAAGTCATTGATGCCACATTCTACAGTGGCAGCACAGAAATTACCACCTCCCCCTATTCCAGTCACCATACAAGCAGGTAAGTCATTGATGCCACATTCTACAGTGGCAGCACAGAAATTACCACCTCCCCCTCCTCCAGTCACCATACAAGCAGGTAAGTCATTGATGCCACATTCTACAGTGGCAGCACAGAAATTACCACCTTTACTCATGTCTCCTTGCAGTAAGGTAAATTATGGATGCTTCATTTTTAAGTAACTTCACAGAAATTGCCGCCTCTCCCCAAATACAGTGGCTTCTCAAAGTGACCACCTCTTGAAGACAGTCAAACTGCTGTCAGTTGACAAAACAAAAATTGCTGCCATACAGTCCAGTGAGTCATTGACACTACATATTACATATATGCAGTTTATATTGCAAAACGTATAAAACTTGTAAAATTCAAATTCTCATTTGAATCATTTGTGATGAGACATTTATCAAGGGGACAATGTTCTGCTATCACAAGGATTTGCTTTGGAACATTCCAGTTAGCAATATAATTAGGACGTTGTAGAAACATTTGAGCTAATCTACATTTGTGTGAAAAGTATTTTCTTATATATGTTATATGTAAAGTTCAAAGTATTGAAATAGAAAATAGAATTGATTTGTACAGGATACCTAATTTTTAACCTATTTTTCATTTTAACACAACTCTTAAACAACTTTTCAGCTGGCAAGAAAGTTACAACTCCTCCTATTGCTCAACCAGACATTGCCAGATCTTTGCCTGCCTATGTGCCTGACACACCAGGCAAGAAAGAGAAAGGTCCACGTACACCTCACAGTAAGAAAGAAGAAATGGCTCCAAGATTTTATCCTGTTGTTAAAGATTCTGGTAGACCTCATGACCCACAGGTAAGAATAATGTTTAGCATAAAAGACTTTGTTTGTGGTTGCTATTTATAGATCTGCAGCCCTATTCCTATTAATAGATCTGCAGCCCTATTCCTATTAATAGATCTGCAGCCCTATTCCTATTAATAGATCTGCAGCCTTATTCCTATTTATAGATCTGCAGCCCTATTCCTATAAATAGATCTGCAGCCCTATTCCTATTAATAGATCTGCAGCCCTATTCTTATTAATAGATCTGCAGCCCTATTCCTATTAATAGATCTGCAGCCCTATTCCTATTAATAGATCTGCAGCCCTATTCCTATTTATAGATCTGCAGCCCTATTCCTATTAATAGATCTGCAGCCCTATTCCTATTAAAAGATCTGCAGCCCTATTCCTATTAATAGATCTGCAGCCCTATTCCTATTAATAGATCTGCAGCCCTATTCCTATTAATAGATCTGCAGCCTTATTCCTATTAATAGATCTGCAGCCCTATTCCTATTGATGGTTGTTTGACAGATATGCAGAACTTCAGTCTGAAATGTATGATTCATGCTAGAGATCTAAAAAGTAATTTTAATAAAATTGGAAAATTGATTCTTATTTGATGAGGTCAAAGTATCTAGGTATGAACCAATGATAAGGTCATGGTATTCCAGTAGTTGTCAAGTGCAGGAGTTCAAATTTATATGTTAGTAAGCTTGCTTTGTATGCACATTCATAATGATATTGTGAATCTGCTGAACTTGACCTTTAATGAACAATCAAATAGAGATCTGCTTATTATTTCATTGTTTTTTATGCCCCCGCCGTAGCGGAGGGGGCATTAAGTTTTACCCTTGTCCGTCTGTACGTACGTACGTCCCAAAATTGGTTTCCGTTCTCTAACTTTAGTTTGCCTCAACCAAATGTTATGAAACTTATACACAATGCTTATTACCACAAAACACAGATGAAGTTTAAATTTTGGTGGTGTCACTTTTACTGTTCTAGAGTTATGCCCCTTTACAAATGGAAAATTGCTGAATTTATCGTTTCCGTTCTCTAACTTAAGTTTGCCTCAACCAAATGTTATGAAACTTATATACAATGCTTATTACCACAAAACACAGATGAAGTTTAAATATTGGTGGCGTCACTTTTACTGTTCTAGAGTTATGCCCTTTACAAATTGAAAAAATGCTGAATTTTTCGTTTCCAATCTCTAACTTAAGTTTGCCTCAACCAAATGTTATGAAACTTATATACAATGCTTATTACCACAAAACACACATCAAGTTTGAATTTTGGCGGTGTCACTTTAACCATTCTAGAGTTATGCCCCTTTAGAAATGGAAAATTTTTTATTTTCTTCTAAATATCAAGTAATTTTATTAAAATTGGAGTTATCTTCCTTTGTCCATAGTTGAATTAACTACAATCAATGCTTTATACAATGCAATGTTAAATTTTGACTTCCACTGATAAAACACAGATCAAGTTGAATTTGGGTAGTGTCACTTTAATCATTATTGAGTTATGCCCCTTTATAAATCGAAAGATTGCATAATTTTTAGTTTCCATTCTGTAACTTAAGTTTGCCCCAACCAAACATTATGAAACCTATATACAATATTCATTACCACAAAACTAAGATCAAGTACAATTTTTTTGTTTCCGTTTTCAAACTTTAGTTTGCCTCAACCAAATGTTATGAAACTTATATACAATGCTTATTACTACATAATAAATATTAAGTACGAAATTTGATGGCACACTTTTACCATTCTTGAGTTATGTCCCTTTATAAACATAAAAATTGCCAAATTTTATGTTCCATTCTCTAACTTTAGTTTGTCTCAATCAAATGTTATATAACTTATACACAACAGTTCTAGAGTTATGCGTGTTTACAAATAATAAAATTGCTGATTTTTTAGTTTCTGTTCTCTACTTTAGTTAGCCTCAACCAAATGTTATGAGACTTACACACAATGCTTATTACCACAAAACTCCGATCAAGTTCAAATTTGGGTAGCGTCACTTTTACCGTTCTTCAGTTATGTCCCTTTATAACTATATGATATGCAAGCGGGGGCATCATCTGTGTCCACATGTGGACACTATCCACATTTATTTTTAATAATGTGATGACTTCTTAGAGGAGGGCCATTTGCTTGCGGAAGGGAATAGGGCTTAAAAATGATCTTTTTTTATGATTTTTTTGTAACTAAACAATGTGATTTTGTTAATAAAAAAAAATAATATATTGACTTTATTTCATTTGAATGCACATGAAAAGGTGTATTTTAGAATTAGTTGTTACTTCACTGGCAATTCTTTCACCCCAGAAAAAAGTTGATATTGAGAAGCAAAATAGCATATTTCTTTCAGATAACATATTTTGGCTCTTTTGAGCCACTAGTCTTCGTACACACTATAGATGTGCTGTTAAATGTTTAAGTGTTAACAAATAATTATAATATCTACTTTTTTCCTTCAGACACCCAGGAAAAAGAAGACGCGACACAGTAGTAATCCACCAATAGAAAGCCATGTAGGTTGGATAATGGATGCCAGGGAACATCGCCCATCACGATCTCGAAATAATTCAATGTCTCAGAGGTAATGATAATTATAAACTTTGTCCTGTTGATATAACTAGTTCCTGTATCATATTAACACTACAATGAGGCAGAAAGATAACTTTTATAAGAATATTTTTTTATTGTGACAAAGGTGAAAATATATATGGTTCTGATCCTTGTAAGCACAGTGTGGACACAGTATCTATTTCAATCTAATGTCACATGACTTAATAGTTTTACATTCCATCAGACACGATGATACACACAAATTATGGTAGTTAAAACACTTAATTTTGATATCCTTTCTTACAGTCCTTCAGAAACGATGTTGTCGACCAGTTACGGTAGTTACAGCAGTACACCTCATGCCTTCCCAGCATTCCATCACCCATCACATGAACTTCTAAAGGATAACAACTTTGTGTGGCATGTTTACCATAAATACCACGCCAAATGTTTAAAAGGTTTGTGTCTGCAGTTTACATTACTGATTTGTATATGTAGAACAGATATAAACAAATCCTCACTTTGTTATTTGTTTATTTATTTCCAATATGCAAACAAACAATATAAAAACATTATATGCATGTCTTACAAACTTTGTCATACCGTATAACTTAAAGGGTTTATAGCAGAAACTGTCTTACAAACTTTGTCATACCGTATAACTTAAAGGGTTTATAGCAGAAACTGTCTTACAAACTTTGTCCTACCGTATAACTTAAAGGGTTTATAGCAGAAACTGTCTGACAAACTTTGTCCTACCGTATAACTTAAAGGGTTTATAGCAGAAACTGTCTGACAAACTTTGTCCTACCGTATAACTTAAAGGGTTTATAGCAGAAACTGTCGGACAAACTTTGTCATACCGTATAACTTAAAGGGTTTATAGCAGAAACTGTCGGACAAACTTTGTCATACCGTATAACTTAAAGGGTTTATAGCAGAAACTGTCGGACAAACTTTGTCATACTGTATAACTTAAAGGGTTTATAGCAGAAACTGTCTGACAAACTTTGACCAATGACCTTTAGGACTATAGCATAGAGCTTCTCTGACAATCTTTGACAATTGTGTCTTAATTGTATAGCATTTACAAGATTGGACAGTTATGATAGTCTCTTGATAGAGATTTTAATGAATGAGGACTTATGTTTTTACTTCTGAAGTTAACAAGGAACACTTTTAATGAATAGGGGAGATAATTTTGTTGAAAATATTTGTCATTTTTTGGTAAAATAAAGTATAAGACTTTCATTGTATAATAGAAGAAAATATGTATGTTTTCTTTTGAGCTATATATAAAAATAATTGTTTGTTTTTCAGAGCGTAAGAAGTTGGGAGTTGGTATGTCACAAGAAATGAATACACTCTTTAGATTCTGGTCTTTTTTCTTGAGGCAACATTTTAACAAGAAAATGTTCCAAGAATTCAAACAGTTGGCAGTGGAAGACTCCATAGCAGGCTATAGGTAAGTAAACAGTTGGCAGTGGAAGATTCCATAGCAGGCTATAGGTAAGTAAACAGTTGACAGTGGAAGATTCCATAGCAGGCTATAGGTAAGTAAACAGTTGACAGTGGAAGATTCCATAGCAGGCTATAGGTAAGTAAACAGTTGACAGTGGAAGATTCCATAGCAGGCTATAGGTAAGTACTAGGAACATACCAATGAGGCTTGAAGGTAGTGTAGGATTTTGGGCAATTTTATACATTTTGAAATTAGTTGTGCTTTTGGATGCATAAAATTTATAAAATATTATTTTCTACATATATCTGGCTATACATAGATAGAATAAACAGTTATAAATAAAAATGAAGATGTGTCCATTTACAAGCATGTGTTCATATTCATAAAGGATTCTGTAAACAATTTCCATATCCATCAAATATGAAAATGAAAGAAAAAATTTTCAACAAAATTTCTAGTTAAAATATACATAATGGTTTGTATGACTAAAAATCTATGGTTTACCTCCATTTTGGATAATAAACATGTTTTTTTTTAAATTGGTCTAAAATTAAGTCCATCAGGGTAAAAGAATGCTTGTATTATAGAAATGATTGTGGTTAAACCCATTTACTGACTATAGCTTAACATACGGTGTGGGAAATATCTTTAATGAAGAAGACGGTCTTGATAAGGACTATTGATATGAATATGTAGTTTTGTGGGAAATATCTTTAATGAAGAAGACGGTCTTGATAAGGACGATTGATTGGAATATGTAGTTTTGTGGGAAATATTTTTAATGAAGAAGACAGTCTTGGTAAGGAAGATTGATATGAATATGTAGTTTTGTGGGAAATATCTTTAATGAAGAAGATGGTCTTGATAAGGACCATCGATATAAATATGTAGTTTTGTTGGAAATATCTTTAATGAAGAAGATGGTCTTGATAAGGACGATTGATATGAATATGTAGTTTTGAAACACAGTTGAAAGGTTGACATGGAAGCTCCAAAAAAGAAGACCAAATATATGCAGAAGTAAAAAGAATCATTACTCTACTTATGGCTGTTTTTAAGGTCCTCAAAAAGGGGAGAGCGCATAATCAATTGCACGACTTCAGATGCAGTCACACAATCAAAAGAGATGCTTTCAGCTATTTGGTACTGAAATATTGTTCCCACAATGAGTTCCAGATGTAACAATACTTAACAATGTTCTTAATTTTGTGTCAATATGAAAGATGGATGTAATGAATTGTATGAAATAAATGTTTTCTGCATCTGTAAAACATCAATCAAACAGCTTTGAGACTGCAGTAATTGGCTTTAAATTTTCAAACATTTTATGAGGGGCATGTCCCATACTTTCTAACAGGTTCACATTACTGACATTTACCCCAAGCTATGGACCGAAAGCATCCAGACTACTGATTGGGCAAAATGGGTAAACAGCTCTGTATACTCCATAGTGAGTAACATACCAGTACTTAATGCAACAATCAACCAATCATAACTTGCTGTAATGATACATGTTGAGGATCTGATCACCCTTCTACTAAAAGAATAGATCAATGACCAACTTTATAATGGCTGTTTATTAGTGCAGGCCATGTAACTCACAAGTATTCTGATCATTTGTGTGTTGGTTTGATGGTTTGACCTTCAGGTATGGTTTTGATGGTTTTGTTTGAATATGATATTAAATGCTTGTTTCGATATTAAAGTTGTAGCTTTGCTTGTTTTTCAGATATGGTGTTGAATGCTTGTTTCGGTACTTTAGTTATGGTTTAGAGAAACGATTTAGACCAGAATTATACAAAGACTTCCAGGAAGAAACAATACGAGACTACGAGCTAGGTAAATATATATTAATTGTTTTTAATATCTTAAAATCTATTGTTAAAAAGCAAGAAAGAAAATAGGACCATAAATACTATTAATAGATCTAGCACAAGAATATAGACGAAAGAACTAAAATGAGATTTTATCAATTATCAATTTATTGTCCCCCCGTGCAACATGGTGTAGGGACATAGAAATACTGGTTGTCTATCTGTACATCCTACAGGCCTTGTAAGGGCTCTCATGTGTACAATACTTGCCAAATTTCTGTTAAACTGATGTCAAAGATTTATATTAGCAATGTTCTGAACTAGTTGGAAAATTAGTGTGGATAAACTAGTTATAAAACTGAATATAGATTTCAATGAAAACTTATCAAAGGTTTATAGCAATAATGTCTTTGATGAGTTGGAAAATCAGTACTGATCAACTATTTTTACTAGAAATATGTCCCTATGAAATGTAATTTATATTGAACATTGCTTTGTAAGCACTCTCATGACTACATATTTTGATGAAATTTATATTTAAAGGTTTATATCAGCAAGGAATATGGAGGAATTTTTGATTTAGCGCCAATCAAATAATTTTATAGGACAAATGTCTCTTGGAAATAGAAATTTTATGGGAAAAAAACATTGTTATCGATCTCATGCCTACATTTCTTGCAGGATCTTTTTTTAAAAGTATAAATGAAAAATGAGAAATGTCTTATAGTTGTTGCCGTTGGACAGATAAAATATGTTCAAAGACAAGGGACATTGGAAGGTTGTTCTTTTATTAGAATTGAAATTTTTTATGTATTCAAAATATATAACTACAGTAAAAAGACAGTGAATGCTAAGTATTTCAGGAAAAGGAGCTGGAGAATTCTTATATTTTATGAAATATTGCAGGTCAGCTGTATGGATTGGAGAAATTCTGGGCATTCCTAAAATATTCTAGAAAACATGTAGAAGTCCATCCAAAGTTAAAAGAATGGTTGTCGAAATATAAAAAGCTGGAAGATTTCCGAATAGAGGTGAGTATCATTTTGAAATTTTAAATGTTATGGTGTTGGCTTTTTAGGTTGTGAAACCACAAATTGTGCACCTATTTATTATTTCATAGAAAAACTTGGACTTGACATTGGGAAAGTCAACCTTCTATTCAGACAACATTTGTAATCTGTTTTATCTTTTCAGATGTTTCCTCCAGATCAGGACAAAGGTGAAGGTCAGAAACAACATAGACGGGAAAGACAAATATCAGAAAGTTCTATAAGAGAACGACATACGTCAGGGTCAAAAGGTCAGAGGGGCCAGTCTTATCCTAAATATAGTGCTAGCCAGTCGGATCAGAGTAAAAAAGATACATTTGATAAACAAAAAGACAAGACAGGTGTCAAAGACTCTAATAAGGCAAAAGATTCACAACAGACTAAATCTGGAGGGAAAGATTCACATCCAGCCAAGGCCGGTGGAACACATGTGACTAAATCAACAGATTCCAGTCATTCTAAGTCGGGTGGACGGGATTCACATTCAGCTAAAGTTGAGTCACAGTCAACTAAGTCAGGTGGACGAGATTCACATTCAGCTAAAGCAGAGTCACAGTCCACAAAATCTGGTGGACGAGATTCACATTCAGCGAAAGCAGAGTCGCAGTCCACTAAGTCAGCTGGACGGGATTCACATACAGCTAAAGTTGAGTCACAGTCAACTAAGTCAGCTGGACGAGATTCACATATATCAAAAGTGAGTGATAAGGAATCTTCTAAACCAGCTGAATCACATTCATCAAAATCGAGTGATTCTAATGTCAAGTCAACTGGTAAAGATTCGGGTCTAAATAAGTCTGCTGGGAAAGATAGTGGGCGATCACATCAGACTAAATCGTTTAACAGAGAACCACTAAGGCATGGTGGACAATATTCTAAACCAAATAGTGCAAAACCTGCCACTTCAAAAACAGGTGGAAAATTTACAGATTCAAAAACATCTCAAAGTGGCGATTCCAAACACCAATCTAGTGTTAAACCATCAGATTTAAAATCTGCCTCAAAACCAACAACACCACAAAGCCCTACTGCCAAAGATTCAAAACAATCTGATAAAACCCAAATGTCGACAGCAAAGGACACAGACATGTCTAAAACCCAACAGTCAAGTAAGGCAGTCACAGATACAACTAAAACCCAACAGTCAAATAAAACAGAAAAGGACACAGAAACAGCTAAAACCAAGTCGGTGCAAACAAAATCAGTCGGGAAAGAATAAGTGTTGGAATACTGATTTAGACACTGTTTTCAATAGTTGTATTACAGAGCATTAACAATTACTGCAGAGTGTTAACACAAATTGTATTACAAAGTGTTAATAATTGTATTACAGTGTTAACAATAATTGTATTACAGAGTGTTAACAATAATTGTATTGTGTGCGTGGCTAATTTATTAAGCAAAAAAAAAATTCAAAAGGACAAAAAATTACTAAAAAAAGTTAACTGATGCTTTTTTTTTTAATCATTTCTATCATATCACCATAGTAATTTTTTAATTGTTAAATTTTCTGTAACTTAAATCTGGTTACAATGTTATCTGTTTTACAAGTACTGTGTTTTAATTACATGCAGTCGACATCAATGGAGAAGGTAGAATGTTACCTTCTTGGATGTTTGTAGTAGAATTTTATAAAATAACTTCCAAACCTTTTCAAACTTATTTTGAGTTATTTGTTTGATATTTATATATATATATATATATATATATGTCTAAAAATGATTGGCATTAAAATCATCATACTTATTGTCAGGCATCAAGTTACATTAATTTCTTAAAATAATAAAAAAAATGATAAAATAATGACTTTTTAAATTGGCTGAAAAAATTGAAATTGAAAGTAAGTATGCTAAACACAACACAGAAAATGAAGAAAAATTGAAAAGAAATTCTGTTTATACCATCTATTAAATAGAAAGAGATTTTTCTAGCTTATGTGTTCCGATTGTAATATTAGTGTTTTATTTGACGGTGGGTGTGGATTCATCACAAGTCTTTCATATCTATGCATTTGTTGTAAACATTTCTACTAGTCTGTTTTATAGCTTTGTTGTCGTTGCAACTATTTTATCTTTAATCAGGTCAATTTCATTGTCATGGCAACCATTTTATCTAGTTTTCAATAGATATTGAAGACTTTATTTTATTTTGATTGTTTGTAGTAACTATCATTGTTATCAGACTAGATTATCAGTAGTCTTTTTATATTAATTGTTTTAAAGCTAATTAAGTAGGAACCAAGTTGATTATTTCTCCCTACTACATTTTGAAATCAAAGAAAAAGTAATTTCTAATGATTTTTCTCTGTAGTTGAAATAATTTTAAAAACAATTTTCATACATCTTTATTTTTCATTCATATTTTCTTAAGTTATGTATGTTTTGTTATTTGATTTTTTTAGTGTACACAAAGAAGCACTTCCGGTAAAAAACCCACTTTGTTTGTCGTCCAGTGAATCTTGTGATTGTTGGTAATTTAGGAGGATATTCAGACATCATATTCTTAAAACACAACTTTTCTATTATATATGAAAAGAATAAAAATTGTGTGAGTGATTTGTTCAGAATTAAAAATAATCACTGCCATTGGCAGGTAATTTGATCTGAATCTCTTGATTCTGTTGTTAATTGGTTAAGTGAGGAATTAATTGATGTACTGCATCTTGTATATATGATTTGAGAATGAAAGAATTGTTAAAGTTATATATGAAACAGAAATCATGTGTATACTTTAATTTTGACAAAATATTGGCAGCATGTCATCCATGTTTACTGATTTTAAATCTTGTTTGTTTTCCATTGAGGATACCTAAAGTAATATTATACACATCACAGACCAGATTTACATTATTTAACAGTAATTTCTGTTTTAGGGTCACCTAAAACTTGTGTTCATCGTTTAGGGTCCTGCCAGGACAACACATGACCTTGTGGGGGTTCTGATTAATACAATAAAACCTCCCTACCAGGTCATGTTTCTTGTGTAATGGTTCTTATGAATACAAGTAAACCTCCCTCCCAGGTCATGTTCTTTGTGTAATGGTTGTTAGAAATACAATAAAACCTCGCTACCAGGTCATGTGCCCCCTATGGATGGTTCTGATTAATACAATAATACCTCCCTGATAGGCCTAGAACCCGTGGTGGTTCTGATTAATACAACAAAACCTCCCTGATAGGCCTAGAACCTGTGGTGGTTCTGATTAATACAATAAAACCTCCCTGATAGGCCTAGAACCCATGGTGGTTCTGATTGATACAACAAAACCTCCCTGATAGGCCTAGAACCCGTGGTGGTTCTGATTAATACAATAAAACCTCCCTGATAGGCCTAGAACCCGTGGTGGTTCTGATTGATACAACAAAACCTCCCTGATAGGCCTAGACCCTGTGATGGTTCTGATTAATACAACAAAACCTCCCTGATAGGCCATTACCCTGTGATGGTTCTGATTAATACAATAAAACCTCCCTGATAGGCCTAGACCCCATGGTGGTTCTCATTAATACAACAAAACCTCCCTGATAGGCCATTACCCTGTGATAGTTCTGATTATTACAATGAAACCTCCCTGATAGGCCTAGACCCCATGGTGGTTCTCATTAATACAACAAAACCTCCCTGATAGGCCATTACCCTGTGATAGTTCTGATTATTACAATGAAACCTCCCTGATAGGCCTAGACCCCATGGTGGTTCTCATTAATACAACAAAACCTCCCTGATAGGCCTAGACCCCCTGTTGGTTCTGATTATTACAATAAAACCTCCATGATAGGCCTAGACCCCATGGTGGTTCTCATTAATACAATAAAACCTCCCTGATAGGCCATTACCCTGTGATAGTTCTCTTTAATTCAATAAAAAACCTTACCACCTAGACATGTGATCTTGTTTGATGGTTCTGGTTAATACTATAAAACTTCCCTACCAGGATATGCCTCCTGTGTGATGGTTCTGATTAAAACAATAAAACCTCCCCATCAGGTGAACATGTGATCTTGTTTGATGGTTCTGGGTAATACTATAAAACTTCCCTACCAGGATATGCCTCCTGTGTGACGGTTCTGATTAATACAATAAAACCTACCTGTTAGGTCATAACCCTGTTTAATGGTTCTGAATAATACAAAAAACTTAACCACCAGGTCAACATGGGACTGTGATGATTCTGTTAAAAAAAATACTCCCCGTCAGAATATGTTACCCTGTGATGGTTCTTGTTAATGCTATGATTTCTCCCCATGAGAACAGGATGTGTTAGCTCTGGTCAAAACAGTTAATCTTCCAAACAGGACAAAAATCGCGAGAATTGATTGCGTTATTGTTTTTGTTTTGACATGTTATTGAGTTTTGTTTTGACCTGTGTACAAGTTTTGATGTGTGGCTTTACTTGTTATAATTGTTATTTCAGTTGTTAATGTGTGTAATATATATAAATTGTTTGTAAATACACTTAAATTGTATAATTATCATTAAGACTTGAAAACTATTTAGATAGAAAAATATATGAAATAAATATTTCAAAGTAATAAATAAATTGATTAGTTAAAGTAAAAAATTGAAAGAAAAAGATTTGTTTAACCAAATTGTGATTTTGATTGTTACAAATCATAGATGCTGAACAAGCTATTTGATTAAGACTTAAAATTATGAAATCATTCCAGTCAAGTCACAAAGTACAGAACTAGTGAGATGAGAGGTCACTTCACATCTGACTATGCAATCAAACTTTTGGTTGTATTTAGTCAAGATTTCTGAAGTACTTAAAAACCGGTATAATTCTGAACAGCTTCAAAATTAGAACTTTAAAATATCAAATTGACTGTTCTGAATTCTGACTATGATTTTCACCTTAACATGCCATTAAATAACATTAAACTTGTGTTTTTCCAATATTATTGTATTAAAATACAAACATGTATTCATTCACAACTATGGCAATATTTAAATTGATAAAACATTTATGTTTTTTGTTGTAAGAATCAAATTACAAAATATTAATAAGTCTGGACCATTTCCCCCCAGCTATATTAGATCATCGATTATTAATGGGACATTTAATAAGTTGATCATCATTTTTTTCTTGTCGCCAATAATTATTGCAATTTAAAAAATCTTTTAACCTGTGATTATTTGCATAATTGTGAGTTATTTCAATCAGTGTACAGCATTATTTAAGTATTTAATTTGAATGAATGAATTTTATATTAAGCAGAATGTATCTCATGTTGTTCTTATTTTTTTTATAGAAAGATTAAGTATATGTGAAATTATTTTGCCTAAAGCAGGAGGTCTACATTTTAAAACATATTTTATTAAGATACTTTACTATGATATTTCCATTCTATTCTTTTAAAGTAATTCCATTCTATTCTTTTAAAGAAATTCCATTCTATTCTGTTTAAGTCTTTCCTGTCTATTATTGAAATGTATTTTGGATTAATTGTTTTTTGGGGAAATTGTTTTGTGATACACCAGGAGCTATGAATAGTCTGTGAAGATATTTCAGCCTCATTTTTCTAAAAATAAATGTACACTTTAAATTTATTGCGTCTGAAGCACTTTTCTGGAATTACCGACATCAGGAAAACTCAAAATGATAAATGTGAAAGTCAGGAATGTTAAGATACTTGAGGACCTGTATGACCAAAAGCCAAACTCTTCTTGGGTCAGCTTTACCCAGCGGAAAAGAAACCTTGTATATAATCCATAAAGTTATTCTTTGAAACTATTTTCTATAATAAATTCCCCCTATTGAAACCTTTTTTTGAGACCTTTGAAGATATTTTTGGTCAGGAAGATAATTCTGTGAAAGTATTTCCCTTTATGAATAGGTTATCATTGCACTATATTCACCTTCATTCAAATTTTCTTCCTGTCATTTGACTGCTGTCCAGAGACAAGAGGTCATGTTCTGCCATTAACGTTTTATTGGTTCTATTTCTATGAAATAACCAAATATGAGTATGGATAAAAGAAGATCAATGCAATTCAAAAATTATACATGATGAAGAAGCATAAAATGAGTAAAAACTAGTGCAAGAATATTTAAGTGCAAAAGGAGTAAATTTATTTATTGAATAAATCTGTAATGGCAAGATTACATATATTTTCATTTACAGTTTTTTTGTTTGTATATACACATTTTGATTTGAAGTGAATGTATAAATTGATTTGAATGGTTATATTTCCTATTTATAATTAATTATCGTAAAATAAAGGTCAGTTAGGCATTACATGACCTCTGACCTGCAGGTGCTTTAACTTGTGACCTCTGTTATATATATATATATAATATTATATATTGATACATTTTGGATGGGACTATCCATTTCATTTTTTTCTGTTTTTGCTTATCATTGCATTTTTCGTAGTAGTAGTTTCTCATGCAATAAAAACAAAAAAATGTCAAAAACAGAAATAAAAGTGTTTTGTTATTTATCAGAACAAAGCTTTCCAGTCAGCCCATAAGAATTAGGCCTTCAGTTTTGCTGAAAGGCTTCTTGAAGAGATTCCACTTCAGATATGATGTATATTTGCTGAAATTTAAGACACTGCCAATAGATAAGATATGACAAACTTTCTGAAATATTGATGACAGAGAGATGGAACCAATGGGATATTCAATTCATAAGACATGACAAACTTTCTGACATATTGATGACAACGAGACGAAACCAATGGGATATTCAATTCATAAGATATGACAAACTTTCTGACATATTGATGACAGAGACGGAACCAATGGGATATTCAATTCATAAGATATGAAAAACTGTATGAAATATTGATGACAGAGAGACAGAACCAATGGGATATTCAATAGATAAGATATGACAAACTTTCTGACATATTGATGACAGAGAGACGGAACCAATGGGATATTCAGTAGATAAGATATGACAAACTTTCCGACATATTGATAACAGAGAGACAGAACCAATGGGATATTCAATTCATAAGATATGACAAACTTTCTGACATATTGATGACAGAGAGACGGAACAAATGGGATATTCAATTCATAAGATATGAAAAACTTTCTGACATATTGATGACAGAAAGACAGAACCAATGGGATATTCAATTCATAAGATATGACGAACTTTCTGACATATTGATGACAGAGAAACGGAACCAATGGGATATTCAATTCGTAAGATATGACAAACTTTATGACATATTGATGACAGAGACATAACCAATGGGATATTCAGTAGATAAGATATGACAAACTTTCTGACATATTGATGACAGAGACAGAACCAATGGGATATTCAGTAGATAAGATATGACAAAATTTCTGACATATTGATGACAGAGAGACAACCAATGGGATATTCAATTCGTAAGATATGACAAACTTTATTGCATATTGATGACAGAGAGACGGAACCAATGGGATATTCAATTCATAAGGTATGACAAACTTTGTGACATATTGATGACAGAGAGAGGGAACCAATGGGATATTCAATTCATAAGATATGACAAACTTTCTGACATATTGATGACAGAGACAGAACCAATGGGATATTCAATTCGTAAGATATGACAAACTTTCTGACATATTGATGACAGAGAGACGGAACCAACGGGATATTCAATTCATAAGATATGACAAACTTTCTGACATTGATGACAGAGAGACGGAACCAATGGGATATTCAATTCAAAAGATATGACAAACTTTCTGACATATTGATGACAGAGAGACTGAACCAATGCGATATTCAATTCATAAGTCTCTGATAAACTTACAACACCAAAAATTGAAGAAAACAACGGAAAAACAACAAACAAAATGCAGACCGTCTCGTCTGTTTGTCTCCCAAAGTAATTAAGACTTGAATGATTCATCAATTCATTCCTCTGTCTTTCTGTGTGTAACCCCTTGAATGCTTTTTTCTCGCGAGACCTTATCACAAATTTGTTAAATATCAGTACGCATGTTTGTTGCCATTCATAGTTGACCATGTCTTAGTTTTTGGATATTTCTGGGTTAAATTTGGCATGGATTGTGAGACTGACCATTTTTGAATCCCCTGCGACATGGAACATTTTCACCCTAGATTAGATTAGATTAGATAAAATGTTAATCTGGCAACGAGGGGTTAGCTTTCTGTATAAAGCATTCATATATCAAAAGGCTTAATGTATATTTGGTATTCAGATGCTTTGTGGTCTGAAGTTTCTGTCTGGAATATGTCCATTGTCCTGCTTTTCATTTTCATGGCTCAAAAGTTTATACAGTTTTTTTTATCACTTGCACTTTTCAGTTTCAAGTAAATGGACAGTCATATTTGGTATATAGAAACATTGCAAGATATTTATGTTGGTTAGACATGCTTCACCTGATCAAGACGTCATCTCATGTTGCACTATTCAGCAGTAGGATCTTAATTAGTTATGTGTCTTAGATTCTATAAGTAATAAGTCAACTATTTTTGGTGTATAAAATTATTGTAGGGTGTACATGTTGGTCTGACAGGATTATATAACCATAACCTTGTTATTATAGTGAACATTATGGTTTTGCTATTAAGTCCATTTGTGTTTCCGATACATCGAGTAACAGTTAACTTTATTCGGTGTAGAATTTTTGTAAGTGTACTTATCCATCTGACATGGTTCAACTCGCCTAGACCTCATTTTCATGGCTCATTGGTCAATGTCGAGCTTTTACAACAACGTCCCTTTCTTAGATACTTTTAAGAAATGATAATTCTATATTTAGAGGGTATTACAGATGGCTATAGAAATAAACTGCCCTAAAAATTATATACTATATTTGGTGAATAGAATGATTGTTAGGTAGACAGGGACATATATTAGGTTTCATCTGACTTTGACCTCATTTATCGTTCGTTGGTCAATGGTGAGTGTAAGGGAATTAGGTCAGTTTCTCTATGAAACACGATCATCTTTAGACAAGATGAAAAATACATTTGTTGATTAACCCTTTTACAAGCTATTATCAACAACAGGTTAAATGAGACCATACCACTTAGTCCATTATGATGTCACGTCCAGTAACACTGTATGATGACAACAGGTTAAATGAGACCATACCACCTAGCCAATTGTGAATTCCCGTCCAGTATCCCTGTATGATGACAACAGGTTAATTGAGACCATACCACCTAGTCAATTGTGAAGTCCCGTCCAGTATCACTGTATGATGACAACAAGTTAATTGAGACCATACCACCTAGTCAATTGTGAAGT